TGGTTTTCTCATCTAGTAACTGGAGGCACATTATTAGAACAGCTGTGTGTTTTATTTCTTAAAAAGAAAGTTTTTTTTCATTTGAGAATGAACAGTGTCAACAAGCTTCCTGCAGGGCTCTTATGCCAATGCACCTTTCATTTCAAAGGACACCATCTGTCTTTGTGACACATCCTTCTGTTTCCTGCTCTATACCAAGTAGGAAGAATCTTTAATAAACAACAAATTCAAAACATGGGAGAAAACCAAATGAAAGCAAACAATTTGTCCAGTAGTAAAACACAAGCCATTTGCAGCATGAGGCAGAACAGCAGCTTGCCAGTGAACTGCAACACTACACAATAGTCAACGGAAGGAAGCAAAGAACCCTGTCCCATCCATTTGCAGTGGCTGGGGAAACACAGAGGAGCAGAACGCAATTAGCCAGGTTGGAATTTGGCCAGGGCAATGGAGATAACAGTTCTTTATGAAAGATGCCAAAGGATACTTCATGAAAGCATCTGTTCAGGCCTGGAGGTTTACACTACAATTCAGCTAGAGTACCTTGCGTTGCTGCTGAGACAGTATTTCAGGCCTAAATCAAGAAAGCAGCATGCCCTCTATTAAAGCACCACAGAAACTATTTGTTCTATAAAAAAAAAAATCAAAGTTTTCTTACTCAGACTTAGGATCCCACACTCAAGACTGTCTGTAAACTAGCACCAGATTAAGTGGATGAGACAGGAAATGTCCCTGATTCTCGATTTTGGTAGTCATGTATCGAGTTCCATTCTTGCTCTGGAGTCAGTATGGCAAGAGGAGGACGGACTGTGGAAGAGAGTTTCTACCTCTGATTAACAGACAAGTCACTCAGCCTCCACAGAATCCCCAACAGACAATTTCAACCTTCTAATACTGTTCTAAGATAACCAAGAAAAAGGCTGTGTTTACATACAGGGAAAAGCAGTTTGAGAAAATACACTCAAATCAGTGCTACAAAAAGTTATAAAACAGTGAAAAGAACTGGCACTCCAAGTGTATGTGTTGTTTACTAGCAGCAGCAAAAGTCTTACTCCTAAATTGAACAGACTGTGCAGTGATGGAGGCCTCGGGTAACCAGGCCCCTCAAAATTACCATTTTCATTATGAACTCTTTCCAGTAAAAGTAATCTACTATGGCAACTCTCTTCCATTATAGACTTCCCCACAGTTTGCTCTGGAGTCTTCATTTGTAAGTATACTCAGTCAGGGAACAGCCTTTCAGCTTTTCCACATACAGTCAGTACCCCACCCATTCACAGAAGTAACAGAATCAACCTTTAGTCTTTCCTGCAGCAGCTGCCTTGAGATGCTTCCAGCTGTCTCCTCACCAGATGTGCACTGTAATTGTTCCACCAGGGACAGTATTTGTCCTTAAACGTCAACATCTGGCAGATCTATTGTAGGGATTTAAAAGATAAAAGCAAGTCAACATATCCTCATAGAGGACAGAGCAGCTTAAAAAAAGTTAGATGGTGACTGATGGTGACTGAATTATTTCACCTGTGCTGGTGTTCTCTGACTCTACTGTCATAATGCACAACAGACACCTTGGGTGCTGTGATTGATTGGTGAACAGCTACACAAGGATTTTTGTTCCTGCCCACCTTTAGATTTTCACTTGGATGACAAACTTACTTGGAAGATACAGAAGTAGAACCAAAGTAGTTAACTCAGGTAAATACCAAAGCTGCCTGTATTTTACGTTCCTGTTTGCTTTGTTAAAATCTAGATCTCTACATACATGTTTAGTCTAATGTGTAACAAATAGATCATATGGCTGTTTAATCTGTTTCCAGTTTACTGCTCAGGGGTCTCGTGCCCCTCACTCAAGGCATGTGGTGGCTTTACCAGGGCACGCAGAGACTATTCTCCTCACTGCTGCATCAGCTAAAGTCTTGTAGAGAAAGAGAAGGGAGGTCAGGTATTCTTCTGCAGCAGCTGGCAGAAGAACTAGAGCACATGATGGAGCAGCAAGGGTCTGAAAAAAGGCAACTGCAACAGCAGAATATATAGAAGACTCCTGAAATTAGAAACAAAGCCAATCAGCCAAGTGTCAATCATTCACATAATCCCCCCCACCCTTCTCTAGGCCTAACAACTACAGAGTTTGTTACTGCAGGATGTCCAAGAGCAACACCACACCAAAATAAAGTCCAAAATGTCCTTCCAGGCTAAAGTTTGGAAAGGTAAGGATTTTGGATGAAGATCTGGATGCCAGTCTCAAGCAGCACACACATTTTCTTCATTTAATAAAGATCTTGTTTAGAGTTTCAGTTCTGACAGAACTTTAGCTGTAAAGCACTTCTGGCATGTTCTCCTCAAGGAGAAAGTGCAGGAGAAGCTACTTCAAATCTCTGAACATCTAATGGATTGTTTACTACACAGCATGATGAACTCCACATTCAGCCCTGGTTTGACAGATGACAGAATTTATGCCAGGGGACGTTTCACTACTCAAAAGAGCACACTCATATTTCATCTAGACAAAAGTAATTTACCACACATTGGTTTATAAAACAGTCACAGGATTTATTGAGATAAATACAAACAGAAAGTTACATAGATTCTCTATTCCAACAAATGAACAACACTTCCAGAGTGTCTTCCCTTAACTGGGCTCTAAACAACACTGTGTACAGACACAACTGCCACTGGGGCAGTCATCCTGACTGATGCCAAGTGCATATCATGCACAAGATACCAGTGAGGCTGAGTTCTAAGCAACATAACTAACATGCTTTGGATTACAAGTGCTTGATAATTTCCTATAGCATCCAAGCAATATTGCACCTACCAGCATTTTCATGTTCCTTAGCTAGAAATGTTTAAAACGGAGATTCTAACAGCTGATATGAAAGTGGTTCAACTACCTAACTTTGCTCCATCTGGCTTTTAAAATACTTATATTTGCATAATTTAAGCAACCCAGAGAACTGTATGCAAACACACCGCTTTATTCATCATTGCGTCCACAGGTCTAGTACAAGATGTAAAGTGCAGCCCTTAGACATGCTGAATCGTTTGGTTCAGTTCTAAACCAGAAAAGAGACAAACCTTGTAGAGGGTAAACCTGTTTAATAGGCCTGCATATTGTATACCAAAAACCCCTCACCCCCAAACTACAATGACCCCATTAGAACATGCAACTGTAGAGTTTTAACAGAGTTTTTAAATGCTCTACTGAAATCATATCATTTAAGCCAGACATGATTTCTGGAGCCAGAGAGGTACCAAAATACTGTTAAAACCAAAGAACTTTGTTTAGTCTTTTAGTGAACTCCTATAGCTGGTGGCTTACTGTTTACACATACTCTAATTAAAAACTCTTAGTGAACACTAACCAAACATGCTAAAACAGATGGAAGCTTGTGTTTTCCAGTGGATTACTGCAAGAAAAAGGTAACTATTTAAGAATATCTGACAAACAGAAATCTGGGTTGGGTTAATGTTCAAAGGATTTAAATTTATATACAGTGCATTTCAAACATACTTACATATACACACACTTAAAAAAACTGGTTCAGTGCTGAGAAATGTAATGAACTTATAATAAAAACCAGAAGTAAAACCTTGTCAGAAAGGCCTTAGAAAAGTTGAACTGTTAGAAAATACCAGTATAATGCCAGCATTAGAAAAAAGATATTAGAACTAGGAAAAAAAAATTTAACTCGAGGTCTTTTTGTTAAGAAATTGCAATCATAAAAAGTCTGCACTGAAGAAGCATTTGCTTTAAATTATAAAAAAAACCTGTAAAAAATAAAATGTAGAATCTTGCAGAGTTTACACTGTTGCTATACCAGCAGTGATAACTTCTGCCTGCCACTTCCAAAAAGCATTTTGTGGTCTCACAAGAAAACAATTTGTTACAAATACTGTACATATTATAATACAAGACTAGTTAAACCTATACAAAACTGAGCCCTCCAAAAACACAGAACCCAGCTGAGGAACCTGTTTGCTGTAACTGCAGGCAAGCCAGATTTAAATCAGAACAAAAAAAAACCAGTAATTTCTGTAAAAACCTTCACCTGTGTGAACTACTTACTAGTATAAGGAGTATATTTACTACTCATACTAAAAGGGAAATATTTACACAGGTATGTCTATAATAAAGTATCATGTTCAGAGAAAGTAACTTATTACATGAAACCATTCTTTAGTATTTAACCATTTCTGAACAGGACAAAACTCCAATCTAAGAAAATAAGACTTATTTTTTTTCAGGCCCTACATTATCTGCAAATCTGGAACACAACAGAAATCAGGATCCACCAAAAGTATCAGTTTATAATTTTCCAACTGGCAGAAGCTATTCAATTTCAGTAACAGAACTTGGTTCTACCTGTATATTCTTTCTTCTGAAACACCTATTTAAATACACTGGAAAAGTCCTACTTAAGATTACGTATCTCCAAAACCTTCATTTATCATTTGCCCCAAACCTTGCCATACAATCAACAAGTCATAGAACCAACTGCGTTACCACCTTTCCCCTGAACATTCGTTAGCTGGGGTTTTTCACAATTTAGAGTTCCTTCTTTTTCTTAGGAATACAGTAGTGACCAGTTTGGCATTTGAACACTGGATCAGTTAAAAGGTGGGTTTTGTTTTTGTTTTTTTTCAAAGGAGGTGTATGTAAAACAAACAACAAAATCCTGTAAGATTCTGTCATACCCTTCTACAGATACAGCACATGCACTGAACCCCTTAGATGAGCTGGACTTTGCCAGGGCAGAATGAGTGACTTTCAGTTTGGCAAATGTACAGTCTACCTACCACTAGGAGAGCCAGCAGTGAGGAAAACAGACATGTTAACACCTGTAAGGGTACAGCTCAGAAATCACAAATTAATAGAAATGAATAGAAAAGTCACAATATACAAAGAATCTTGATCTCTGTGCTTTGAAAAATATCACATTAAGTAAAAATGAACCATGCCTTAATTCTAGCAGAAAAAAGTGAAATTACTTTGGAGCTCTTCATTGCTTTTTGATAAAATTCAAAACTATTCACATATATACACTTTTTTCAGTTAAAATGCAATACTTGAAACAATACAAAAACTACAATGAAAGTGAGGAGAGTATCTTCACATAGGTTTGCTATAAAACAGGTTTGAAGGTTTAGAAACCATTCTGATCTTATAGTAGACTTCTCTACTACTGTAAATGTTTTGTTAAAAAGGAAATACAAATTTCAATTACACCGAAACACTGAATATGGTGTAGGACTTACATGAAATACTTAACTGCAGGCGAGATCAGTTATCACCCACATTTACAAAGAAACAAAAGACCAAAGGAAGTATTCATGCATATGAGACAAAAACACAGCCTTAAATGAAACACAGGCATGAAATGAAGACCCTAACAGTTTTAATACAACCTTTCCAGGTCAAGTAGGTAACAACTTTCTTACTCGTACACATTATTCATACCAACTGTGAACATAAGGTGAATAACCATTGTGCTGTTCAGTGTTTACTGCAGAACACCACATTAGTTTTGTTTGTCAATGGTAGTATTGTCCATGTTACCCTGTTTTAGTTTTATGGTGGCAAAGAAGGACACATCTTGATCTCTGTCAGACTGCAGGGCTAAAATGGTCTCTTCTGCAGCTTCTAGATGAGGATTACCAACGCTTTTAAAATAAGCTAGAAGGAGAGAAGAAAGAATTTTAATCAAAGCCAGAAGAATAAACTCTAGAGCATAAGAAATACAGAGGATGCCAAAAACATCTGGGGTAGCTCATCCAATATATAGGCTCTTTAGAAAAACTACAGGAAGCTAAGGAAGGCAACAGAGAAATATGCTGCTTCTTACCTTATTAGGTACTTAAGCATTTCTAGGAGAAATTATTTTTGCTAAGCCCTAAATCAAAAATGTATCAACAAGCTCAGGAAGCTGCTGCTGTACAATGGGCTACAAAACACTCCCCATACTTTATTCTGAAAGAAAGATAGGAGGAGATCTCTGTGCATGTTCCTTTGAATAATCTGAGATCAAATGATTTTGTCATTGTTGTTTTTAAAGAACTGTAGTACAGAAAACTGTAGCAGCAAATGATTACATTATTTCCTGGCTTAAGACAAAAATGACAAAGCAAACTATTTCAAAAAAAGGTGTAACAATTCACCTGAAGGACCCCAAATGCAACTATTGCATTGACATAAAGGTTTGAAATACATCAAAATAACCTAATGTTATGTTTAAGAAAAAGTATTTGCCAAACACATGCCAAGCCAAACCCAACCCTCAGCAGTAACTGCAGCACTTTTGGCTCTAAACAAGGCCGTAACTGCCCTCTAGAGGATGAAAACCCAGTTCTTAGATTATCAATGGCAATTTCTGGCCCTTTAAGGATGATAAATATTCTAACACAGAAACACCACAGTCCGCATTCCTAAAACTAAGTTTCAATGCAGTATCCCAGCTTACAATGTGTAATTCCATTTTCAGTAATAACCGAACCAAACAGCCTTTTAAACCAATTGATAACAAACTGCAGTGGCAGAAAAGCCAGCACTTGTTAGATGTTAGCTCTTTGAAAGGACATTGATGACCACACCTTTCTCCAGTAAGGTCTGCCTTAGAGCCTTGGCCAGCAGAACCCTTACATTTGGCACAGGATCTGAAGCAAGACTTAACAGACTGGGGAGTAAGTGTTCAACAAACTGGTCGACAGGCATACATTCTTCTTCTACTACGGCCTACAGGATAAACACAGAACAGAAGCAAGCAAGATTTATGTTAATAATACACAATTTGCCATTCCTTCCTATGCTATCCTTAATTTGGTCTGGCTATTAAACAAATACACTCTATGCTGGTGAAGCAAGTACAACCTTAGAAATACTGTTATGAAAATATGTCTTATTGTTCTGAAGTTCATCTGAAGATGACCCAACAAGAGCAGCTTTTTTTCTCTGAACTATATTTTAGGAAATACAGTTCTCTTGCCTGTATCACCCTTTCGCCTTTCAACACTCAATCCTTCCTCCTCATTGCTCCCAAAGTAAGCATTTTTGGTTTGAAGGCGGGTGAGTAAGTGGCAATAAGGAGGGAAATAGTTCTGGCACCCAGCACTCACAGGTAGTTTGAAGAGCACTTGTAAACCTTTATCCCAGCATATCAAATTATTACAAAATGCATCTTTGTTTAGGACTTTATTCTTGGACTTTGCCACTGGGATACCAGAAAATAGAAAGATCAGCTATTTCAGCTGGAGGCACAAACCAAAGCAAGGACCACAGCTTCCAACTGGACAGCCACATGCTAGTACTGAGACCAGACCAACTCTGCCACCATTTTCTGTGAACTCAGTCACAGAACCCAAAAGAATGACAGAAAAACTTGCAAGTCCAAATTTCAGTTTTGTCCACATTGCTGAAAAACCCTAAACTGGCTCCAAATTAGATACATACATAGAAACACAGAGAGAACATTCCAACCTGACAAATGAAGGCAAAAGCTTGTCTTCCAACCCACTTGGAGCAGTGGCGAAACCGCACCACGAGTTCATTAATGAAATTTAATCCCAGTGCATTTGCATTGTTTGCATAGAACTTCTGTAGTATTGCCACAACCTGGGAAGCGGGGGGATTAAAACAGAGATGAGACTTTACTTGTAGCCCTTAAAAGGTTAACAAAAAACCCCATTATTTCATCCTACAGAGGGATACCAAAACCTATAGTCAGTACAATCAGCTGCACCTGCAGGACTTTATGAATACTGTGCTTATTCTGGAGAAAACAAAGTACAAGCTATAAAAAAAAAGCTGTTTGTTCAAGTGAAACAAAAAAAAACACTAAAAAGAACTTAAAACCAACCATTAAAATAATGCCCCTTTCCATGGCACCATGAAGAAAGTAAGACTGAAGGAATCTTTCTCCTCATTCAGGATATCTATGGGATGATAGCATTATTATGAAGTTCATAACAAATTAAATTAACTTTGAGGGAAGATCAGCAATTTTTTTTTCCTCCAGAACTGGGGCAGAAATCTCCCAAATGTTCTATATCCTGGTTTTCATCCAGTTGCTAAAATCATTTGTAATTCAAATGCAACAAACAAAGATTTCAATATCTCTGCAAGTCTGACAATTCAAAATACTTTAGAAATTTTTCACTTTTTCCCATACTGTTTACCTTGTTTATTAAAACATCTCTGTATGCCCTAACTTGTCTAAAAGAAAATAGTGATCTCAAGTATCCCTCTCAAATATCCTCATCTCCTGTCAGGAAGTGAATTAAGTCCCTACCAGTCTGAAAGAGATCCACCGGACTTCTGAAACTTTATCGGAGCAGAGAGTTAGTGCAATATGTCTTAAGTAGTCATAGACATCATTGGGATTATAGAGCTCCAGTATCAGGATTAGCTGCCTGGAACACAAAGAAAGTGGTTAACTCTAGTAAGTGCAACACTAACATGCTTTCATTTACACCAACTACTAAACACAGGGAAGGATCATTTGCAGCCTTAAAAATGCCACAGTTACTACAAAGCACCTGAACAGTTTGTTCTTCTCTTTACTTCCTAAAAGGTGCACATACCTATTGAAGAGTTATGAATACAAGAGATACTTTTATCCAAAGTAACTGCACCAGTTAATCAAAATTATCCCAAATACTAACAAAAGCTACAAACAGAATACAATGCAACTTCAGACCACTATTCTTGCAAAGCAAAAATGAAAGGTCTACTTTGGTGTAGAAATCTACAGTTCAGGAAATAGTTTGTCTTTGAACTGCACAGAACTCACTCTAGCCACACCACTGTCATGTTACCAGCAGCCTGCACAAACCAACTACAAAGCAACAGCTCTCCACTAGATGTCAGGGAACTGCTGTACAACACTCCTGCAGCACCAGAGCGAGATTTTGTTGAGCCAAACTACAAAGTGACAGCAAAACCTCAACAGCCCAAACAAAGAAATGAGATAAACATGAAGGTCAGATTTTGCCTACAAGTTATGCCTACAAACATTCTTTGAGTGCTTCAGATATCAACAGGGCTCGTAGACAAGGAACTGTAGGATGTTACTTTATCTCCATTATACACAGTCATGTGAAAACACCAAATTAATAAACTATTTTTAAGAGCTTTCTTTCATACATGAAAGAAAGACTTTTTACATAACATTCCACTTACTGTTAGAAGGCAGTCTAAAACTAAATAAGATCTGAAACCTCACTGAAGAGTACCTATCAGATTGTTGTATTTCATGAGCTGCAAGTGAACCAGCTCTCCATTTTAGTATAATTGCAGACATTTAAGTCTGTCACACTTGATCGCCACATAACTTGCCAAAAAAAACCCCACCCCCAAACAGCAACAAAAAACCCCCAGATTAAATAGCTGTAAACCTTTAAACCTTAATTAGGATGCATTAGCATATGTATGTAATTACCTATTTCCAGATTAGTAATATAGATTAAAAATCAGAAGTTAACCAAATTACATACTCTGCCAGCTCGTAACGAAACCTCCAGTTCCTGCTGTTATCAGTCACCACAAATTCCTGAAGTTGATAAAGATACTCTCGCCTTTTGTCTGCATGAAGTAACTAAAAGAAAAACATTACTAGTATAAAACTGGTAAAATTTTCTATCTGCAGTTCTCTGCTGTATTACACCATTCATAACTGTGTGCATTTTCCTACTTGAAAGCAAGCAATTACTGACAAGATGCTTACTGAAAACCACGCACAATCAGCTGAGAGCCTGGACACACAGAACTACCATCCAAGAGTCCTGACTTCTGCAAGGATAGCAAGTACCATCTCTGGGCATAAAACCAAGGAACCAAGCTCTAAGGATTTGTGTGTATTATGCAGCAACTCCCAGCCCCAAACGCAAATTATTAACAATCCAACTTTCCAGCTCAGCTGCACAAAATACTAATTCCTTCACAGGAATTAGTAACAGCTAATCGTATTAGTAAACAGGAGCATTTACAAGCACATTTACAATGTCATTCCAATCTTCATATTTTGTTGGGATGAGACAGAAGAGACATGAGAAACCTTAAAAAAGCCACAGACACACACATACACACACAAAACAGCAGTAGCGTACAAAACTAAACTAGATATTGGTTCATAGAATCATAGGATAGTTAGGGTTGGAAAGGACCTTAAGATCATCTAGTTCCAGCCCCCCTGCCATGGGCAGGGACACCTTACGCTAAATATCACCCAAGGCCTCATCCAACCTGGCCTTGAACACTGCCAGGGATGGAGCATTCACAACCTCCCTGGGCAACCCCTTCCAGTGCCTCACCACCCTAACAGGAAAAAATTTCCTCCTTAGATCCAATCTAAACTTCCCCTGTTTAAGTTTCAACCCATTGCCCCTTGTCCTATCACTACAGTCCCTAACGAAGAGTCCCTCCACAGCATCCCTATAGTCCCCCTTCAGATACTGGAAGGCTGCTATGAGGTCTCCACTCAGCCTTCTCTTCTCCAGCCTGGACAGCCCCAACTTTCTCACCCTGTCTTCATACAGGAGGTGCTCCAGCCCCTGATCATCCTCATAGCCTCCTCTGGACTTGTTTCAACAGTTCCATGTCCTTTTTATGTTGAGGACACCAGAACTGCACACAATACTCCAGGTGAGGTCTCACAAGAGCAGAGCAGAGGGGCAGGATCACCTCCTTGGACCTGCTGGTCACACTCCTTTTGATGCAGCCCAGGATATGGTTGCTTTCTGGGCTGTGAGTGCACACTGCCTGCCCATGTTCATTTTCTCATCAACCAACACCCCCAAGTCCTTCCCCGCAGGGCTGCTCTGAATCTCTTCTCTGCCCAACCTGTAGCTGTGCCTGGGATTGCTCCGACCCAGGTGTAGGACCTTGCACTTGGCATGGTTAAACTTCATGAGGTTGGCATCAGCCCACCTCACAAGCGTGTCAAGGTCCCTCTGGATGGCATTCCTTCCCTCCAGGGTATCAACCGAGCCACACAGCTTGGTGTCATCGGCAAACTTGCTGAGGGCGCACTCAATCCCACTGTCCATGTCAGCGATGAAGATGTTAAACAAGACCAGTCCCAACACCGATCCCTGAGGGACACCACTCGTTACTGGTCTCCAGCCGGACACTGAGCCATTGACCACAACTCTTTGTGTGCGGCCATCCAGCCAGTTCTTTATCCACCGAGTGGTCCATCCACCAAATTGATGTCTCTCCAATTTAGAGACAAGGATGTCATGTGGGACAGTGTCAAACGCTCTACACAAGTCCAGGTAGATGACATCAACTGCTCTACCCCTGTCCATCAGTTCTGTAGCCCCATCATAGAAGGCCACCAAGTTGGTCAGGCAGGATTTCCCCTTAGTGAAGCCCTGCTGGCTGTCACCAAGCACCTTGTTGTTTTTCATGTGCCTTAGCATGCCTTCCAGAGAATCTGCTCCAAGATTTTGCCAGGCACAGAGGTGAGACTGACTGGTCTGTAATTCTCCCGGTCACCCATTTTCCCCTTCTTGAAAATGGGGGTTATATTTCCCCTTTTCCAGTCATCGGGAACTTCATCTGACTGCCATGATTTCTCAAATATGATGGCCAGCGGCTTCACAACTTCATTCGCCAGCTCCTTCAGGACCCACGGATGGATCTCATCAGGACCCACGGACTTGTGCACATTCAGATTTTTAAGATGGTCTCGAACCAGTTCCTCTCCTACGGTAGGCGCAAGGTCTTCATTCTCACAGTCCCTGCATCTGCCTTCCAAGACTTGGGTGGTGTGGTCAGAGCCTTTGCCAGTGAAGACCGAGGCAAAGAAGTCATTCAGAACCTCAGCCTTCTCCAAATCCTGTGTAGCCAGTTCTCCTGAGAGCTTCCTGAGGGGGCCTACATTCTCCCTAGTCTGTTTTTTATTTGCTACGTACTTGTAGAATCCCTTCCTGTTTAACACCTCTAGCTAAGTTTAATTCTAACTGGGCCTTAGCTTTCCTAACCTGGTCCCTAGCTTCCCAGACAACATCCCTGTACTCTTCCCATGCCACCTGTCCTTGCTTCCACTTATTGTGAGCCTCTTTTTTCATTTGAATTTTCCTCAGCAGCTCCTTATCCATCCAAGGAGGTCTCCTGGCCCTCCTGTTGCACTTCCTTCTGGTTGGGATGCAACACTCCTGAGCTTGTAGCAGGTGATCCTTGAACATCAACCAACAGTCTTGGGCCCCTCTGCCCTCTACGGCTGTATCCCATGAAACGTTACTAAGCAGGTTCCTGAAGAGGCCAAAGTCTGCTCTTCTGAAGTCCAGAGCAGTGAGCTTGCTGCACGCTCTTCTCACTGTCCTGAGGATCTCAAATTCAAGCATCTCATGATCGCTGCATTCAAGGCTGCCCTGGAGAGTCACATTTCCAACGAGCCCTTCACTGCTGGTGAGCACGAGGTCAAGCATGGCACCTCTCCTTGTCAGCTCCTCTATTACTTGCAGAAGGAAGTTGTCTTCTACACAATCGAGGAACCTCCTGGATTACTTGTGCCGGGCCGTACCGTCCTTCCAACAGATGTCAGGGTGGTTGATGTCACCCATGAGAACAAGGGCCTGCAAGCGTGAGGCTTTTCCTATCTGTCTATGGAGTGCTTCATCCGCAGGTTCTCCTTGATCAGGTGGTCTGTAACAGACCCCCACAGTAATGTCTCCCATAGCTATATTCCCTTTAACCCTGACCCACAAACTCTGTGGACTGCTCACCTGTCCCCAGACAGGGTTCCATACTCTCCAGCCTATCCCTAACATAAAGGGCAACTCCCCCTCCCCGCCTGCCAGGCCTGTCTTTTCTAAAGAGCCTGTAACCTTCCATTCCAACACTCCAGTCATAGGAGCTATCCCACTATGTTACTGTGATGCCTATTATATCATACCCCTGTAGACATGCACACATCTCTAATTCCTCTTGTTTGTTCCCCATGCTACGGGCATTTGTATAGAGGTTCCTGCAAATCTCATTAAAAACACTCTCAATATAACAGGAAAAAAAAAATTTGAGAAATTAAATTACACTTTCCTACCTTCAGGAAGTCATATAGATGTTTAAGGACACCAATACGCACTTCATCCAGATCTTTCAAGAATCCATTGAAAATTGGCACCAGGTCAGCAGCTGTTAGCTGATCCCCCAGGATAACTGCTAGTTCATGTATGGAGAAAGCTAGTGTCCGACGTACCTTCCACTGCAAACAGCATAAGAAGTGAAATAGATTAGGCACCAAAACTAAAGTAAACAAGCTTTTGAACTACACCTGTGTGAACACAGACAGCAGAAGGAACAGGACTAGTTACACAGCAGTAGAAAATCATGAAGTCTGACTTAAATCTTGAATGTCACATTTTTAATGCATATTTAAACCCTCAACTATACAACTAACTGAACAAACAAGATACAAAGGGTTCTGATTTATCATTATTTTTTACCTGTACATCTGAAGCCAGCGTCTCATATGTATCTTTCAGGCAGTGCCAGTTCTGCCTGCCCAGTGTCAAGGCCACTCCAGGAAGACTATACGCACAGTGTTTGGCTATTTCAGTATCAACAGTCTGGGCTCGAGCTGGGTCAGTCATTGACAAGTATTGGTCTAATAAAGGCTGAGGTATGATATCCTATAGAGAAAGACAAACACATTTTAAGAACAGAAAGAAAATACACTTGTTGCTACAGTATTCTCTTGCTACCAACCAGCTGGCAGCAAAACACAGTGTGGCAAGACCCACACTTTTTTGGGCCAGCTTTACAAAGTGACTCCTCATGATCCTCTCACTAGGATATAGCGGTCAACAGTGAACAGTAATTATTACTTTATTAACATGTTGCATCAAACCAAACAGAAAATATCCTTTTTGCAGAAAGCAGTAAGTCCAGTGACAAAATAGTACAGTTACTGCCCACCTTGGCTGCACAGATTGCATCTGTGCACCAAAAAGGCAACAGAATTTTTCTTGCTTTCCAATTTAAAACAGGATTTTGCTCAAGTGCCCAGAGCATTCCTTCATGTTCTGCAACTGATTAATTGCAAAAAGATATCACTGTATTAAGCATTAAATGAACTGTACCCAGTACTCCAACAAAGCAGTTTCTATTTTAACCACCTGTAATTTTGACTTGTCATCATCCAGTGGCAAATTACTTTCTTGCTCTTTCTTTAAAAATACACTGGTTCCTCTATGTTGTTCCTCCGAGTTCTGTAAAAAGACACACTAGCTAGTGAAATTACAATTACTGCTGGTTAGGATATTTCAAAGCATCACACTACAGAACAATGCAATTCAGATACAGAACAGCCTTTTATAGACAAAGCCTTATTCAGTGTGCTTATACAAGTGCAGAAAGAGTTGTACACTAAGGAAAACACTACTAAGACCATAGCAGCAGCAAGGGGAACAGTAGTCAGATTTACTTTAAAAAAAAAAAAAAACCCATCTAATTCAATACAATAAACCCAACAGTCAGATTTAGGTTACTCTCACTATACTCTTAACTATATTTTATTCTTGGCATGCATTTAAGTTATATTAAGACATTTTAGCAGTTGCTCCAAGTCAATCTTTCTTCAGTAAAGAAACTTTACTTGGTTTTGATACTTCTGGAAACCCCCAAGCGTATGAAGCTAAGAAGCATATACCTCTCTCCAAATATTAACATGCAACTTCAAAGTAATTAAAGGTTTAAAGCTTCTAAAACATACAAAAGTTCTAAAAGTTCACACACCATTTTACATTTTTGTTTCTAAACAAGAAGAGCTTTTCCTTATTTTTCATTATTAGCTCCAGCAACATTATATACTGTGCAAACAATTCTTTTGACTCCTATCTCTACGTTATAATCAAGAAGTAGCAATTAGGAACTGTGTATGTGTCACCACCTGATTCAGCCTCCTGTCTGGTGATAAAAGACTAATTTTAGATTCATTACAGGAAGAGGTGAGACTATTTACTACATTTGATCAAAAAAAAAACCAACAAAAAAAACAAAACCACCTACAAAACTACTGTAAAACTTTCACTCTTAAGTAATGTGTGTGCAAACAGAAATAACCCTCAATAGCTTTTCCTTCTCTTTTTTAATTAAGGTAGCATATGATACTTCTGGACTAATAATACTCAAAGGCTTTAGATCAGAAGCAGATCAATTATGCCAGGGACTACATGAATACACACATTACTAAAGCAGGTAAGAATTAATTTCAGACATGGAACACAACGCATACTTACTGTGCTTTTCAGTACACAGGTGATAGACTGGTCACTGATGTTATCCTGGGAGGCACGGGATGAAAGAGTGTCCTCCTCCACCTGGCTACAGGTAGCATCTGAAACAGTTGTTTCATCTGAAACTGTTTTTTTCTGGAATTTGCCACTGCTTTCCTTCATGTTTTTGGTCTCATAGTCACCAACAGAATCAAACTCAGCAGCTCTGAGAGCAGCAGACAGCACTTGGACCTGAACTGCATAAAGCAAAAGAAGCCTCTATACTCTCTTCTGCACTTAAAAGCATTCAACTTGTAGTTAGTTAATCTAGAAACGATATATTAGCAACTGCTCTTAGAAAGAAGAGGCCCGTTATTCTTCCACAAAACCAGCACAAATAAAGAGCAATGATTTGGAGGCATTAACAATTTCAGTAGAACTATTCTACCAGTTTCTACTGCTGAAAGGTATGTCCAGTAATCCCCTGTAATGAGGCATCACAGCATACCGGCTCTCCTCCCATTCTTCATACTGTCAAACTTTAATACAAGTTCTTCTGTTCTACTCTTTAACTGATTCAACTGCTTGGAAAAGGCATCAATATGCATTTAAACATTTACGAGAAAAACTTTATGCAGAGGAGGGAATTAGTGAAACCATCTCCGAATCATTTATTTTGCAGAAGTAGATATAAAACAAAAGGTTAGGTTTACCACTATCACCAATATTAGGACAAACTGTATTTGCACATAGCTGCACAAGCCTATGACAAGTACAGTTTTAAGAGGAAACACCAGAGCATGCTTTAAAGATGAAGAGTACCAGATGAATTCAGCTGATAACAGGCAGCTCTGTCCCTAAAACCACAGTACTTGGTTACAGTACTTAAAGATGGTTTCAACAAATTTCAACAAGCTCTTTTCCCTTTTGCAGTTAGATCGAATTTATTTCTCATATGAACAGGAGATAGGAACACTTCCCCACCTGTTCTAAAAAGAACTCAGGTCTTGTGAAAGAAGGCTGATGCTTAACTTTCTACTGTAATTACTGCCAATTAAAATGCAGTCTAAGGGTTTGTAAAGGGTAGGAGAAAACATGCTCAGAGGAAATAGATTTTGCTGTTAAAGAGTCTCACCTTGAACATCTGGATCATCTATATGCTCTTGTAAGCTTTCTAGAACTTTTTTTATTTCAGTACTAGCAACACAGTTATTACATGGCACTGAACAACTATCTTTATGCGTTTCAGTCTTGAACTGAAGCAACTCCAGATCCTGACTTATATCAGGCAGAGGAGGGCGCCAATATAGAAAAGTATTAAATATGTCCTCAGCAGACTGTAGCCTTGAGTTCATTCCAGGAAAACTGCTGTCCTTAGTGACTTCTATGACACCAGCAGCAACTCTGTCACCCTCAGACAATCGAGACACATCTTCTCCAGGATTGGTACAACAATATGAACTTTCCTCCTGTGTGTCTTTATTTAGGTTCTCAACAGAGAGCTTTGTATGAACTTCAGCTGAAGTCTCTTCAGTCGATGATTCCAGTTTGATTTCCATTGGTTGTTCTGAACTGATAACAGACACAAATAAATACCCAAATAAAACTGAAAATTCTCTGATGAGTTTTCAGTGAAATACTTCATAAAACCCAGCATAACTACCTAAGTTTATTTTCCCTGCAAAAAGACAAAATTGGTTACAGCTGTGCTTTCTTTCACCAGTTTTCCCTTTACCCTCCTGTGAAGCCAAAGTGAGTATTTCAGTAAAACAGCTACACTCCAATAGACACGTGTCCTCACCCTTCATACCTTTTCTAGAACTATACTCTCGAGATTTTTTTAGCCATGAAATGCAACAAAAATAATTATCTTTTTCTCTTCCACTACACCACACCATCTTTCCTTCCCATGATTTTACCTGGACAGTGTAGCATTTGTACTGGAGGACATTAAAGTTTTATTGTTGCTTGGCTGACACAAATTGGAATTCACATCTTGCGTTGACTGTTGGATACTTAGTGTCCCATCTTCTTGAATGTAAAGACCAGCACTCGAAGGGTTTGCAAAGGTAGAAATAAATGGGCCAAGAGACTGAAAAGCAGCCTGACGAACCTGTGATAGTATAAAGACAACAGTCAGGATTCATGCAATTCCCACAGACTTACTGATGGAAAATAAAAATTTGGTTCCATTTTTTTACTAAGAACCAATTGGTTCATACTAAATAAAATAACCAGTTACCAAGTAAGTGACACCTAAGCAAAGAGTGTTAGAATACTAAGCATTATCTACAGTCACAGAAACATTTTAGGGGTTAATAAATTTGACGGACATCTCCATCTACTTCAAGGCATTTAACACACGCAACGTTCTCAGAAAAGTGCTTACACTTACAGAAAAAACTGTTGATAGAAATTTTATGCAGTCAGAGGAAAAATAAGATACTGTCTTAGAGAAGAGATTACATTTCAGTAGATTAGACTCTAATCTCAGCAAATTTAAAGAACTTTTACAGTACACTCCTGACTTGCCCATTAATGGGCAAGATCTATCTAGGAAGACACATTAGCTATAGAGCAAGCGACTTACCCATCTGCAAGTGTCACTAATAAGACTGATAAACAGTGGGGATAGTTTGCTTCTGCGAACTTCTGGGGATGTGGTATAAGACACTGCCATAAAGCATTCAGCACAAGCTTTTCTCATTCCCCAAACACTATCAGAACAGAGCTCAAAGAATTTGGGAATCTGTCAAAAAATAAGCAAAACCAATAATTAAAAGCTAAACAGACTGCAGCAACTTACTCTCAAGTCATTTTTTGGAAACTCTAGAGAATGACAACTCAAGGGAAAACAAAGTAAGTGAAAGAAGAAATAAGGACACGTTAAAAGCATAGATTAACTAAGAAAACAGAAAAACTATCTGTCTCCCATTTACTTCATCAGGATTTTAGGTATAACTATATGCACTAGGAAAGAAGAGAAAGAATTATTAATGGCCTATTTTTCCTGGAACTAGAACTTGACTGATAATCTAGTTCAGGGGAAAAAAAAAAGGGTAATTCTAAAGTGTGTGTGTATATATGCTGTTAATTACATTTTAAAAAATACTTTTCAAAACAAGAACTTTGCATATGTAGCCATTCCCAGTTTTGCCACACTTGCAACCAAAGCTTTCGATAAATTAATTAAAAAAATGCAGGTACACTGATTAATTTACAGAGAAAATAATACAAGAACTCATCACCAAACCTTTTGAACTGAGAAATTGAAGTCTTGTCAATTGATTTTGATTTTTACGTACCAGCAATCTTTCTGTGGCTTCTTGCCCAACTGCATTACAAATGTCACCAAAATTAGCTGCACAAATCTAAGAAATTAAAAAAGTCATTAATAACATTCTGGCTCTTTCAAGTGCATTAGTTTTATTATCAGCTTCACCATGCATTATTTATCCCATGTGACAACTGTATACATTTGACTATTCAAATTTCAGCCATGTAACTACATCCTGTAATATTAACTCATCCTGAACAAAGACTCATTAGAGCAGGCTTCCATAAGCCACATGCCTTTGAAATCAATAGGAATAAAGGTTTCTGCATGAAGAATATCACCTAATTCAGTAATCACTAAAAGGGACAATAAGCCTACTGGAAAGTTTAAATTACTTTGAATAGCAGCTGTCAAAACCAAAGCAGGCTGAACATGATACGAAGGTCAGGACTTACATGTACTGACAGAAATATCTTTGCTATAGCTGCGATTGGCTTAAGTACTTTGCTGAAGCAAAGTTTAATCAAGGTCTCAAGTTAGTGCCATTTACAGTACATTACAAGTGATATAATTAAGGGAAAATGGACATCCCCTCATTCTGGAAAAATATGCTTCCAAAATCTGAAATCAATTAAGATAGGGCTGTGTTAACATAGGATTTATTCTTTCTTTTTTAGAAAACCATAATGCAGCTCAAATTCCAGCAAGCACAGCTTGTTAAGGACCAAGCTGCAGCTCTGCATGACCCTTAAGTCTACTAAATACTTTAAGACCCTTTATGCTACAAATTTCCTTTTGTACTTGCCCATGAATTAAAGTAAACCTTACACCTCGGGGATTTATCCTTTCAATAATACCCGATTATTTATTTATTTTAAGGAAGGATGTCTCAAATATCTATTACTTCTGAACTTCTGGTTTTGCAATAAGAAGGTGGAAATCAAGTAATTTGTTTCCATCCCATAAACAAGCATGGTGGCTTAAAAAAAAAAATAAAAGAAGTTATGCAAAACTATTAAATGTACAAGATCAGTTTAACTGCTACACCAAAGCTATTCACCAAGGACTGTTACCTACTGTTACCTGTTTCTTTACTAAAAGAGAACAACTGTAACCATGTCAATAAAACTGCTCTTCCAGACGCTGTCAAAGTTCATCAGCTGAAGTTATGACTAAATTATTCAGGAAGCTATCTGAACAGCAACATACAAATTCATTTTTAAGTGGTTTAGGGTTGAAAACACACCAACCTTTCGGACTTGAAACAATTTCCCATCACTGCACAGTTCACAGAAACGAGGAAGCAGCAGGTGCTCAACTGTTGTTCTGCTCAACATAGAAGCCATTTTACAGATTATCTAGAAATCAAGAGGGGGATATGTGTAAGGAAAAGTATAAAGCTTGTAAGCACAGCCAAATATCTCTCCTAAAAATTACCTCCAAGACAGCAACTACCATCAAATACGTTTAACTGCTACTCATTATTCATACTGTTATACACCTGTTTGATGTGAAGCACAACTATAGCTTTAATTTAAAATTATTCTGTGCCTGATGAGCGTAACATTTCTGCATGTAATTCATTGTCCTTTTTATTCAGTTAAATACGTTCATTAAAAACAGTTTCAAGGTGTTTTACGACGTAGCAGACACTGGTATTTTGTACAGAGAAGACAAAAGTTCCATTGCACTAGCCAGTACACAAAATCATAATCTTTAAGCATATTAGAAATATCTCAAGCTTAAGCATGCAAATAAGCTCCTTGGCTTTATCAGGACCACTCAGATACTTAAAAAAAGAGCACAGCCCCAGCTCTTTATATGCTTGTACAACACAATAAAATACAAGTTTGCCAAGCAACACGAGAGAAAGTGGAGTGTACGACAAATCAGTTATATATGGGAGCTAATGGACTCCTTACAGGAATGATCCTCAGAAATTTTAGGAGTTCCCATCACAGCAGAACTAAAGTTAGTAACATGCCCATTAATTTAGCTTCCTTCTCTGAGGAACTGTCAATTTCAACTCCCATTACAAACCTTGTTTCTGCTGTGAAAATCAGCTGCTTTGGATTGCATGTTCCCTTTCAGCTCCAACTTTCAGGGATAACTTGCTGCAATTCTTATACTTGCAAAAGTAAAAAGGAAGGAGCTCCTATGCTCCTTTCTACTCAACTGCTCTGCCTGTAGCACGAGGAATTTAACACTTACAGAAGTGTTGTCAGATTAGCAGTACTCATATTTAGTCTTTCTACCCTCACAAAACCAAGCTTTATTCCTAGAAACGTTTGCCTTTGAAATAGAATGCCAAAGAAGAACTAAGGAAGACACCATTTAAGGACTTTCCAACAAATCTTCAAGCTCTTAAAATGCATCTGGTGCTCAGATGTCAGCCTGGAAAATTGCCTAAGCAATACCCAACTCCCAAATAAGGAAGGGGAAAATGTAGCTGGTATAACTGATTTACAGGTCAAGTGTCAGATACCCATGATGAAATGTAATTACACACCAGCACTTTTCTGTGGAGTCAAGTGATTTCTTGAAAGTGAAAAGGGCTTGTTTTTTATAAATGCCTATGAATTAAGATCAGGCCATCACTTCAACTTTTGCTCTATCAAGTTTCACAGTAATGTTTTAAACGTAAAGAAACTGTTTGAGAACATAATCTTAAGAAGTTTAACAAGGCTGCCAAGAACCAACTGCATTTTAAAGATATCTGGTGTTCAACACTACAAATGACTAAGAAACCTACATATCCAAGGCTTAGCAGCTTAGTGTACCTCAGGTTAAACTGTATCACAACAGCAGGCTCTCAATTCCCAACACAACAACTAACAAACAGGGAAAGCACAAAACAAACAAAAATAGGAATAGTATAAAAAGTTTAAGCTCAGTGATTCAAGTAAAGCTCTCAGGACACTAAGACTGCAAGTACAATTTTTGTTTTCTGGGATTTATGCTCTTGAGTATCTCACACAGTTGTTATATTCTAGGAGTTTTATAACAGCATTGCTAAAAGCCAGAACAAATGTCACCAAAAAAGAAGGCACAGCTACAGGTTGGGCAGAGAAGAGATTCAGAGCAGCCCTGCAGAGAAGGACTTAGGGGTGTTGGTAGATGAGAAAATGAACATAAACCAGCAGTGCGCACTCGCAGCCCAGGAAGCCAACTGTATCCTGGGATGCATCAAAAGGAGCATGACCAGCAGGTCAAAGGAGGTGATCCTGCTCCTCTGCTCTGCTCTCATCAGACCTCACTTGGAGTATTGCGTGCAGTTCTGGTGTCCTCAACATAGAAAGGACATGGAACTGTTGGAACAAGTCCAGAGGAGGCCACGAGGATGATCAGGGGACTGGAGCACCTCCCATATGAAGACAGGTTGAGAAAGTTGGGGCTGTTCAGCCTGGAGAAGAGAAGGCTGCGTGGAGACCTCATAGCAGCCTTCCAGTATCTGAAGGGGGACTATAAGGATGCTGCGGTGGGACCCTTCATTAGGGACTGTAGTGACAGGACAAGGGGTGATGGGTTCAACCTCAAACAGGGGAAGCTTAGACTGGATATAAGGAGGAAGTTCTTTAAGGGTGGTGAGGCACTGGAATGGGTTGCCCAGGGAAGCTGTGAATGCTCCATCCCTGGCAGTGTTCAAGGCCAGGCTGGACAGAGCCCTAGGTGAGATGGTTTAGTGTGAGGTGTCCTTGCCCATGGCAGGGGGGGCTGGAACTAGATGACCTTAAGGTCCTTTCCAACCCTAACTATTCTATGATTCTATGAGACCAAAGAAAGAAAAAAAAAGTAAAAGATGTAAGATTTCTTCCAAATTTACTTACATTCACAGCTTCCACCTTGTATTCATCATCACTGTCAGGAGCAGAGAGGTCCAACAGAATTGGACACACCTTATTTTCAATGTCACTCTGAGCAACAAGATCTTGTTCTAGCAGTATAAGCAGTGCTTCCTGACCTGCCTTTCTAACCTATTAACATGAGCAAACAAACATGTATCACTATGAATACATTGATGCAAACCACAAAAAGCATATTTTCAATGAACACGCAGATACAAGTTAAAAGAAATAAACCACAAACAGAAAAAGCTCTGTTTTTACTTCATAAGGAATTAGTAATAAATGCTACAGTTTAATATAATCATTAGGTGACATTTCATCAAATTCTGAGGAGAATCCAAAAAGACAAAGACAGGACTTTAAGTCATGCCTCCTGTAACAGGCTGCATCAATACGCTGCTAGGCAAATCCTGTAAGTTTTCCCATTATCTGCTATAGAACAACCCCTCAGACCTCCCCAGCAGAGTGTGCTGAAACCAAAACACAAAGCTTTACATAAAAGCTGGTCATCGATCAACATGGAATTTCCTATTATCTCTTCCTCATGCTTTAAAATCACTGAACCGCACAGATTTTTTCCAACAATTGAACTCATGCGGTCTGGTTTTCCTACCTGATTGTTAACATCTGTGAGGTATCTCACTACTATGGGCATAAGGTATTCAAAAAACGCTGTTGGGAATTTTGGTCGATTTTCTTGCAGAAAAATGGCAATAGGAGGTATTTGTTCCATCAGCTCTGTACGTACAGTCGGCTCTAGTAATAAAAAGTCCAAACAACATCCATAAGTGTGAAATTAAGATCAAGTATCTTAAGAAAAAAATGTAGCCTTTTTCTGTCTAATGCTTTCACAGCAGAGGAAAATTAAAATATTAAAAGAAATATCACCGAGATTGCCTCTTATTAAAGGAAGACTGAGTAAAATAGAACAGGCTTACATACATTGCAGTCCAGAGACTTGGGATCCCAAATAAATCAAAAAAATTGAGAGCACTAGCTAGAAAACCCAACCACCATGAATGTATGCACATGAAGTATCAAAACACACAACTGTACTGGACTACATACACCACACATTCAGGTGTAATTAATTCCTTGAAAAATATTACTTTGGGCCCTATACTAAGTAAGAGCCTTCATTTACACAGCCACCATGCAGAATGCTTCAAAACAGAAGAAAAAAATTAATTATGAACAGATATTGCTGTGAGATGATTTAGTTTCTTCTTTCAAAAGATTTATTGCCATCTGTATTTCAGCTAATGTAAAATAAGATGATGATAAAAATAACAGCTTTCAAACCTGCATCTTCAGAGAGCCTGACCACTATTTCCATTACAGTCAGGAAGTCTTCTTCATTACTACTGAAATCTCGAAAGACATCCAAAAGACCTCTGGCAATAATCTGCCTATGAAGGTAACAACATATTAATTGTTTTAATATCCTGCCAATGACACATAGATGTGATGTGAGGGGAACTTATGAAATGCAAATGGGCACCATAAAGACAACCAGGCTTTTCTCTGAGCTTTCAGACATACCAATTATAAAGTTCCCCCATGTCCCAACATAAAGATAGAATTGAGAGATCTTATTCAGATAATCAAGAATGAAAACCTCTTTTTATGGAAATGCTACATAAAAGTTACTGAAACAAATATTAGGCTTGTGCTTAGGATAACAGCAGAAGTAGTGACACTACCATCCATGATACTATCAGTCAGTTATCAAGTTTACCTGTTAAATATGTTATCGCTGAAGGCATATTTTTCTAGACGAGCCAGTGGAGTTAAGTTGTCCTGGCCAGGAATATCCAAGAATGCAGTTATTCTCATGCTGTCACAGTCTGGTCCATAATCTTCGAACCCAACTTGAAAGACAAGAAGAGTAACCAAAATACAATAGAAATAAATCCAAGAGTCATCAAGAGATGTAAAATACATTACACTGATAATTATTTCTTTTTAGAACTATTCTTCAAAGGCAAAGTATCTGCACAGCACTGGAAACAGCCTACAAAATATATAATCTTAGGTGACTGTACTTAACCAAGTCAAGAACAACACTTCCACATAGACCTGTAAGTTCAAGCTTTGAAATTTAGTTCATTTCAACTGTCAAAATCTTTAGCTTTTAACACTTTACTTCATAATCTGAATGGACTAACCACATGCACTGAGTTAATAAGGCTCAGCTGACAAAACCACATGCCACAAACTGACCAACACATTCAAAAGGAAAGTCCTATTAAAAGAAACTGAAATGTTAAACAATGACAAAAAAAACCCAAAGTGTATTGCTTTAAAATAGCAAATCCTTGGGCCTGTTTCAAAGTTCCTGGGATACATTTTTCTCACTGTAGTTACTGGGTCCCATGTATCTAAATTAGATTGGTTGCTTTGGGAAAAACATCAGCTTTGCCTTACTTGTGAATATTCTGGGAGCTGTCTACTGCAGACCTACCAACTACAAACTTACCATGTAAGCCTACTCTGTAGGAAGAGGGAAAAAAAAATATCTTCTTTATATTTGCAGCTTCAGATCCGAGAATGAACTTTGGCTTTAAACTACATTACTATTCATTGTAAAACACTTTTTATATAAAAAGACATCTCTATTGCTGAGAGGTACCTGGCCTCAGCTTTTTCCTACAGAAGAATTTCCTATTTCACATATAAAACTCTGCTTTCCAATTACTTAGCATGAGCCAAAATAGTCTCGGAAACACAGCTTATTTAAAGAAGAAATCACCTGAACACATTTACAGCAAAATGTTATACCTGGATAAAGCAGACTGGTTTAAGCAAGCACAGTCTCCAAGGACTAGAAGATTGAATTAAAAGACTATAACAATTCTCAATTCTGCTGTTCTTGCAGACATGCTCTGAACAACAAGTTCAAAAGAATGCAAACAGAAGAACTGTGGGATTAGAATAAACATTCACATTTCAATTTTTCCACATAGATGCTACAAGTGAACCCACAGCTACAGGATCAGAAACATGCCAATTATTCATGGCTTTTTATAATTGCTACACATTGTACTGCCCCCCTTATTTACATTCAAATGGTCATTATTATTTCTAGTGACTACTCTTTAGATAGTTTTAAGTTTTGTCAAGTTCAAAACATTTATCTCCACAAGCGTATATAATTTTATCACACAGATCTGTCTGGAACTGATTTGTCCACATGCTCTAGGGCAAGCGTTCCCATCAAGCACAATATCTAAAGATACATCCAGCATTTGCTGCTTCAAAGAAAGCCTAATATATCACTGAAAGCAGTTATACAGTGTACACAGGAGTGTGAATTTCCTCTAAGGTTGCCACAAACTCTCCATCACAGTATCACAGTATCACAGTATGTTAGAGATTGGAAGGGACCTCGAAAGATCATCTAGTCCAATCCCCCTGCCGGAGCAGGAACACCTAGATAATGTTACACAGGAATGCGTCCAGGCGGCTTTTGAATGTCTCCAGGGAAGGAGACTCCACAACCTCCCTGGGCAGCCTGTTCCAGTGTTCCGTCACCCTCACTGAGAAGAAGTTTCTTCTCAAGTTTAAGTGGAACCTCTTGTGTTCCAGTTTGTACCCATTACCCCTTGTCCTATCATTGTTTGCCACTGAGTAGAGCCTGGCTCCGTCCTCGTGACACTCCCCCTTTATATATTTATAGACACTGATAAGGTCACCCCTCAGTCTCCTCTTCTCCAAACTATAGAGACCCAGCTCCCTCAGTCTTTCCTCATAAGGGAGATGCTCCACTCCCTTAATCATCTTAGTTGCCCTGCGCTGGACTCTCTCCAGCAGCTCCCTGTCCTTCTTGAACTGAGGGGCCCAGAACTGGACACAATACTCCAGATGCGGTCTCACCAGGGCAGAGTAGAGGGGAAGGAGGACCTCTCTCGACCTACTAACCACCGCCCTTCTAATACACCCCAGGATGCCATTGGCCTTCTTAGCCACAAGGGCACAGTGTTGGCTCATGGTCATCCTGTCGTCCACTAGGACCCCCAGGTCCCTCTCCCCTACACTGCTCTCTAACAGGTCATTCCCCAACCTATACTGGAACCTGGGGTTGTTCCTGCCCAGATGCAGGACTCTACACTTTCCCTTGTTATATTTCATCAAGTTACTCCCTGCCCAACTCTCCAGCCTATCCAGGTCTCGCTGGATGGCAGCACAGCCTTCTGGCGTATCAGCCACTCCTCCCAGCTTAGTGTCATCAGCAAACTTGCTGATAGTACACTCAATTCCCTCATCTAAATCATTGATGAATATATTAAATAATACCGGTCCCAGTACTGACCCTTGAGGCACTCCACTAGTTACAGGCCTCCAACTAGACTCAGCCCCATAGACTACAACTCTCTGGCTTCTCTCCTTCAGCCAGTTCGCAGTCCACCTCACTACCTGATCATCCAGTCCACACTTCCTCATTTTAGCCGTGAGGATGCTGTGGGAGACCGTGTCAAATGCTTTGCTGAAGTCAAGGTAGACCACATCCACCGCTCTGCCATCATCCATCCACCGTGTTATTTCCTCATAAAAGGCTAAGAGATTGGTCAAACATGATTTCCCCCTGGTGAAGCCATGTTGACTGCCCCTCATAACCTTCTTATCCTTGATATGCCTTAAGATGGTACCAAGGATAAGGTGTTCCATCACTTTCCCAGGGATGGAGGTGAGGCTGACCGGTCTGTAGTTACCCGGGTCCTCCTTCTTGCCCTTTTTGAAGACTGGAGTGACATTTGCTTTCCTCCAGTCCTCAGGCACCTCTCCCGTTTCCCAAGACTTGGTAAAGATGATGGAGAGTGGTCTAGCAATGACTTCCGCCAGTTCCCTCAGCACCCGCGGGTGCATCCCATCTGGACCCATGGATTTATGGATGTCCAGATTGCTCAACTGGTCTCTAACCCATTCCTCATCGACTAAGGCAAACCGCTCCGTCGACCTGACTTCATCTAAGGTCTCAGGGGTACAGGGCTCTTCAGGACTGCCCGCAGCAGAGTAGACAGAGACAAAGAAGGCATTCAGTAACTCTGCCATCTCTTTATCTTCTGTCACCAGGGCACCCATCCCGTTCATCAGTGGGCCTACATTGCCTCTGGTGTTAGCTTTGTCTGCCATGTATTTAAAAAAGCTCTTTTTGCTGTCCTTGACCCTTCTTGCCAGGTTTAATTCTAAGGATGCCTTAGTCCTCCTAGCTGCCTTCCTACATCCTCTAGCAGCAGCCTTATATTCCTCCCAAGTGGCCAGCCCCTCCTTCCATGACCTGTAAACTCTCCTCTTCCACTTGAGCATACCCAGCAATTCCCTATTTAGCCACGCAGGTCTCTTGGCCCTCTTCCTTGACTTCCTACGTGTCGGGATGCTCCGATCTTGAGCACGGAAAAAGCAGTCCTTGAATGTCAACCAACTATCTTGGGCCCCTTTACCTTCAAGCAGCCCTGCCCATGGGATATCCAAACCTAACTCTGACCATCCTTCTATCTATGCAACTGTAACATGTATATGTATTTTTGAAAATGCACACAAGTTGGACACACTTTCAGTAGCTGATTTTTGATGCCAGCCATGTGTTATACACAACCATTTATTAGGGTTAATAAAAATAAATATACTTGCCATTAACTTTCTTTAGTGCCCACCTGTTCTTGAATTAAGAAGCAGGTTTAAAACTGCAGACTCTTACAAGTCCACTTCAAATATTTCAGACTTCCTACCAATTCAAACAACAGTGAAGTAAATTCTCACTACAATACTACACCTGGGACTAATTTCATAAACACAATGAACATGCTTTCATTTACTGGAGTGGCTCTATTACTCATTTAAATTAGCTGAGCACACACCAGTGCTTCTTGGACCAGAGGGAAAACAGAACAACTATTTATGCTCAGAATCAGGAGGGTTAAATACCTGACTTTTTTTTTCCACATACTCTCAGTACATATAAGTAACAGTCATGGCAGAATCCATTTTGTACTCTCTCAAGAATTTTAATTTTATCTTTCCATGCACAAAATAAGCAGCCATAGGTACTTACAAATGGCAGAAAGTAAATTACATAAATAATGAACCAGTATTTCTTATCTAACATTCTTTCACAGGTAAATCAAACATCCAGTATCTTTGCTTCTAACATCAAATGACTAAGCTTGAAACCTGTTCACCTATAAATGAGAATAAAAGTGACAGTATTCACAGCTGAGCTGGAGTTCACCTTGCTTTAGTTTGACCTACACTCAAAAGCTGCTTAAATCTTGTGACCATGTAGGTGTTTCTTACAGGCTCTAACCATGCAATTCAACACCATTAGCTACTATCACTATCCACTTTTCACTATACAAAACAGTAAATACAAGTGCAGAGTGCAATGAATGATTTTATGAACTCAAGGAGGCTATTTTCTCTCTCATTGTTTCTAGAAGGAACAGCAATTTTTAAAAAAAATTTCTTTCTTGTACAGAGGGTGTAGTAACCCAATGTCTCACCTTACAAAAGGTGAGTTTCAAACTGTATTCAATTCATTTAGGCAGATTTTACTATTGCTTGTGCCTAGATTCAGATGAATCTACCAGACTCTCCATTTGTTCCAATGGAATTGATTTTCAATGTGCATTACACTATTTCACCAGTTTAGATAAGAACGTAAAAATCCAGTTCCGGTGATTTATTTCACTGAGACTTTCCTAAAAGGCATCATGAACTCTTTACTTAACTGGTCACCAGATCAGCACAACAGTATCCCAGCCTAGATGGGACATCCAAGTTTGCTGTAACTCAGTAGAAGACAGCTTTCAATACTGTAACTCTTAACTACATTGTCAAAATAATGACCTTAATCAAAGAATATCTTTAAGTCATAAAATAAGATTTCAATAGTGTTCTAAAATGTACATTTAGAGTGCTAATCCTAAAAATGGTAGTTTCTTTTACACAAACTTTAAGTGACCCATGTAAAAAGTTTATTAATTACTGCTTATGGCAAAGTGTTCTTCATCTGAATGTTATTAGCTTAATGACTTGAACTAGTTTTGCCTACTAGCACTAAATTTCTCAATCAACTTACCACACAAATGATTACTAATACAGAACACTTAAATCAGGATGATGGTCACCCCTAGTTCAAGGCCAACACATAACAGAACACTACAGGAAGGTTGCATTTATTTCCACTGCTTGCACTTTACTCACTCAGCAAACAGAACTGAAGTGACACACTGGTTGTAGCTGGGGATTCTTACTACAGAGAGAGGAAAATTGGAGGTCACTTGGAGCCATATAGAAAGACTCAATCAATTAAAATTGCTGATCATTAGCGCTATCAAGAGCTTTGCTTGGGATGTTTTGCATTTGTTTTTGTGGGTTTGGTTTTTTTTTGTTTTGGGGTTTTGTGGTTTTTTTTTTACTTAGGGCAGAAGGGAAGATAGTTTCAACTCTTAAGGGACTACAGCAACAACAGTTGCAGCTCTACTACTAGAGAACTAGAGAAAATAGGATTTAAATCAGGATAAGCACATTGAAATGTGTAAGTTATTGACCTCACTTCAATTCTGTTCAACACACATTTTTTGTCATCTAAGGTGATGACTTCTTACAAACTGCTTACTGCAGTAAGCAAATATAAGAAATAACCTATAGCACCTCTTCTTAAGCTTTTTTTTTAGTGTTAAATCCCTGTGTGTCAAATTAGTGTACTTCAACTACTACTGTACACTCAGTTTTTAATTTCTAGCTTTTCAAACATATAACTGCATTAAAGGAGGATGCATTTTACATAGTTTTAAATTCATTAAGACCCACACAGTTTATCTGTATAAAGAAAATGCTTACTGTATTTTCAAATACACAAAAAAACAAAGTGAATCAAGAACTCTTATGTACACAATCTCGTCATTTATACAGCACTTACATCCCAAAAGATCCCAAACTTCTCTTTCTGAAACTTAATCAGAATACAAACACTTTTTTCCTGCTACCAACTAATGAAATGCAGAAACCTTAAAGATTGAAAGCAACAACACATAAGAGCAGCAACTAACAAAATCCTACAGAACAACCTGGCTGCCAAGCCAATGTCCCTATGCATCCTTCCAGTGGAATACTCTGGATCTCACTTGTATTTTAACACTTCCCCTGATGTTCTTGAATACCCCCGCTTTTCCTAAAACAGCCTATTCATGCTACATTGGGGCAATCCATCTGTTGCACGTTTTCAAGTACAATTAAACAATAATTGTCTTGCGGTAAACAGTCTCCCACAAGAAACAAATTCGAGTATCAGCTTAAATTTTATTTAATAGAAGAGCCAATCCAGCATCCACAGCACCAACGAAACAACCCCAGCCAGCCAGCTGCTTCCTGAAGCAGTTCAGATCCACAGAATTATTAAAGATTCGTTTCCTTAAATCACAGCTCTTGCCAAGCTGTCTGACAGGTGGTCAGCTCTACTCCCGTAACACAACTCTGAGCCACAGCGGCTTAATGTAGTATCTACGACTTTAACTAAAGCCAGCGACGTGTTAGCCAACCGAGTACACACAAGGGAAGGTTTTCTTTTATTCCCGCTTCCGAGGTGCGCGCGGAGCCCCCCAACAGGGTCCTGACGAGCGCCTGTGCCGCGAAGATGCGGGAACTGCAAAACTCACGGCGTCCTCAGCAGCCTCTACAGCACTTAGAAGTCTCACCCGTTCGAGCCACCACAGCTCAGAAAGCCCTCGACTGCTCTAGGCTCATTTCCACCGACAACAACGGCCAGCCGGAGCGTTTTCCTTCCCCTTTCCTTCCTCTGCACCGAATCCAGCACTTCAGCAGCCATGTGAGGCAAAGAGACTGGTCTCTTGGAAGGCCGCAGGACCACAACTGCCCCCCAAAACCCCGCTTCAAGAGGCCGCCCACACATCCTCCAGCGCTCGAAGCGCCAGCCAGCGCCTGGGGGCTCGTGAAACGCGCCAGGTGGGGCGAGAGCCTACAGCCGAGGGAAGGAGCGAGCCCGCTTCTCCTGCCAAGCCGCGCTGCTACGGGCACACTCACACACTCCGAACTCTTAAACCTGAGCACCCTGCAAACCCTCACCAGCATAAACAGCCTCAAAATTCCTCCCCTCACCTTAACCTGAATAAAAACGCGGACAGGGGAAGAGAGCGACGGAAGGACCCCGGGATGGGAGAGAGGCAGAGGGCCTAAAGAGCAGAAAAATAAAAAACAGTTACTCACAATCATCTAAGTCATCCTGCAAATCCACAAAATACAAAGGGACCCCTACAAACAAAAACAGAAGAGAGATACCGGGGTGTTGATTTCAGAGGACTGCGGCGAGGACGGCGGCAGCCTGGGGCGAAGCGCCTCAGCACCCCCCGCCGGCCAGCCCCACTTACCAGCCATCTTGGTATGGACATGGGCGAGGAAGAGGAGGGGAGCGGGAGGGCAAAGGGAGGAGCCGTCGGTACTTCCTGTCTCCGGGTCAGCCCCCGCGCAGCCGGAACGCGACCGCTTTAACCCACAGCCCCAGCGAGGGAGCGAATCACCCCTCAGCACCCGGCCTCGCCTCCTCACCGCGAGGGAAAGCGCGGCGGCGACGGGCGGGGGCGCGGTCAGGTGACGCCGGCGGGCCATCCAAGATGGCGTCGCGTTCGCGCAGCTCTGCGGAGGAAGGTTGGCTGGTAATCACGGTGTGAGGGAGGCGGGGGGCTGCCCCCGCGGGCCTCGGCGGAACGCGCGCCCCGGCAAGGGCTATGGTCGCTCTGGGCTGTGTCTTCGGCGCTTGTTAAAGGCACGGTTTGCGCGGCCATGGCTCTGAGGGAGCTGAAAGTTTGCCTTCTGGGGGTAAGTGCTGCGCGGCCGGCTCCGGGGGTGGTGGCAGGGAGCGGGTCTGTGGAGGGGCTGGCTTGGAAAGCTTTCTGCAGTGGTGGAAAGCCTCTGCGTAAGGCTGGAGAGGCTCTGAGAGGGAGTTCCTTCCCTGGGTGAAGGGTGGGCCTCGCTCCCGCTGCGGCTGCCGGCGCGCCCCGGCTGTGGGGCCGCGTCCCGCTGAGGAGAGCGGGCGGCCGGAAGGGCCTTCCCCGTGCACAGGGTAGGCGTTCTCCGGGGGTAAATATCGCTCCTTTTTTTCGATCTTTTGCTGTATAAAAGAGGAGAGAGGGAGCAGGGGCACCCAGTGTGTGCTTCCCTCTTCCCTGTAAGCTGTTTCAGGCTTGGAATTTACTAAATAAATAAATAAAGGTACCTGAAATCACACTCGAGGGGGAGGGGCCTGAACTTTTTTTTCTTAAACAGCATATGTAGGCTTTAAAAGTGTCTGAAGCGTTGCAGGTGGTTGGAGAAGGAGACATTAAACAAACTGAGGTAGATGTTTGGAAGAAGTTAAGGTTATAAAGCTGTGTTGTTGGTTTGGTTGGGTCTGAGGGCTTCACTGGAGAGCCTCACGTTGAATAGGTGGAGTTGCCCCCATCTGTATCTAAATCTTGAATTGTACATGCCAGCAGACTCGTTTTCTTCCTCTAAATGGCCACACTGCTCTTCAGGGGAAAAAAATGAGTGTTTCTGTACTCCTTTTGTTATGAAGGCATTTGAGGTAAGGACCAGCCACTGTTTGCATTCACCTGACCTGAGAAACCTTTCCTCATGTAAGAAGAGGAGAATAAGCACCCCGGAAAACTGGTCATTGAACTCCTGTAGTCAGGAACTGCGTCAGTGTTCTGAGATTATAAGCTTTTCTGTGAGAGGAAAGTAGCTTGAAAAAATACGCACAGCCATGCATACTGTACCTAAATTTACTACAGCATTCAGAAGATTCAAGAAAATGCATGAATAATGTAAAATTTTATTTTCAATTAAGCAGGTTCTCAGAGTTTTTTCTCTTTAAATTTTAATGACTCATGAAATGTAAAGCAAAATGTTTGTCTTCACTTGTCTTAATTAAATGACCTTTTAAAATATCCAGCTTCTATTGAGAACAGTCTTGCTGCTAGTAGTTGAGTTCTTTTACTCCTAAAGGTGACTTTCAACCATGAAGTCAGTGGTGCAAATACATACATGACCCAGAATTTTCTTGTTGCGTTTCCTCTTTGGCCATTTATAGCTCTGTGGAATTCCATTAGATACATGTTTCAGGTGTGTCACAGAAGAAATTTCAAGTCTTTCATTAAGCAGGGTGGGACAGCATTAGTCAGGGGTTGAAATGTGTGTGTCACTCTTGTATAACTTAATGTGCTCCATTGGCTTGAAAAAATAAAATGCCATACTCAGTTGCTGTCTATTTTACTAAAAAAGTCATAGATGGTCTTTCCCTGTTTCTTGTTCAAATGCAATCTATGCATAGCTTTGGAAAAAACAGAAGTTTGAATAAATGATAATAAGCATGAATGCAGATTTTACAGTCCTTCATAAAAATATCTTAATTGTTTAGAAAGCTAACTTATCAGAGACCTGTCATTTCTACTAAATTATTGTATCTGAAGTATATTCAGAATATAACTTCTTGGAAATTCTCTGCAGGAACATATGATTCATGTACAGTGTACTGCAAGATCTGAGGACAAAAAGAAACATCTGGCTATAGTAACTAATGTCTCTTTCAACTGTTTCTGTCCTTTTTTTAGGATACTGGTGTGGGCAAGTCAAGTATTGTGTGGAGATTTGTAGAAGATAGCTTTGATCCCAACATCAACCCAACAATAGGGTAAGAAACTAAGTAAAAGAAATTTATTTAAGACTAAAACCAAATTGTATAAATATATGTCTGTACCTCCTGAATAGATCACTTGATTCTCCACTGTGGCAGCTAAATGTGGTAATAAGCATGACTGCAGCCTTCATTAGCTCATGAACTGCCTTAGGAAACGTAGAAGTGTATGCAGCACTCCTATAACTCCATTTTCATGTGTGAGATCTGGACCCATTTTGTATTCTTAAACTAAGGTAGCAAAATTGTGCTAGAGATCCTGGGTTCTGAATAAATGATGCTTCTGTTAAAGGAATAATGTGCTTTTTCTCATTTACTACTCTTTAAGTTGTGAAGGCTATTATGTGACTGCATGATTTTATTTTTTAAGTTTTTTTTTATTATATTAAAGGGCAAGTCTGTTTTGAAGGTAGTTAGCATACTAATTCTGGCTGTAGTTCTCTTAATGAATTAGTTGTAATTTTACATATCTATATGCAATACACAAGTGTAAGTAACTGATGAAATTGTTCATGTAATTGGTCTCACAGGTAAGGATGTTTAAAAGTTGAGCCTCAGAATAGCAACATTACTGAGCTCAAATCTTCAAATGCATAGAAGGAGGGCCAAACACCAGGAGTTCTTGGAGTGGTTGGATGTTTTTATTTCCTTTGCTGTCTCTTTTGCTTTGAAAGTGTCTTATGAGCTGCTTTTCTTGGTAGCAGTTCCTTACTTTACAGGAGGACATGACTTCACTTGATGTCGAGAAGTGCGGGGGGGGGGGGATGTCAGTGCAACTTCCCGTCTCAGGTGATGCACAGGCTGTACTACTTCTTTGACCAAGAAAGATGCTGCTGATAAAAGTCAGCTGTATCTCATCCTGTCCTTCTGGAAAAAAAAAAACAAAAACAACCCAAATAGGGTTCTGCTGGTCTTCCTCCCTCTCTCCCTCCCCATTTCCCCTTGTGCTCCCAACCTTCTTTTTTTTTTTTTAATTCTTTTGCATATAAATACTGGTAGTGAACTGCAAGGTACTCTGTAGGAAGTATGCTTTTTAAAATAAATTTCTCTGTTAACAAAGGTAGCTTTGGAATGAATTTCATCAAATCTTGCTGTCTACCCTCCAAAGTTGCTTTCTTTCAATCTGGTAGTTTTCTGGCTGTGTGGTGTGTTGGTTGATTTCCTTTTCTTTTTTTTTTTTTTTTCCCTCCTCCCTCCAGTGTAGCACCTATCTGGAGGCAGGAAAAAAAGGGATCACAGGCACATGTCTTCCCAAAGGGCATGTCTGTAACAGATTCTATGTAGTAACTTAAGGTGCTGGTAGAAGATGCTGGCTATTGTGCTAATGAGGCTAATGCGCAGAAGAGAATTTGTCTTCATGGATTTAATGATAGCACTGGGATTAGTATACTTTCTTGAAGTGACAGACTTAAAATATATCTTTTAGCCATCTTAACACAATCATTCGTTGGCCTGAGGATTTGATATCTTGGTAGTTTGCTGTAGTAGTATAAATGAACCAAAACTTGTCTAAATGGCAGGGATGCAGTCCCAGAATTTTAAGCAAATTAATTTTGAAACTTTCTAGACCTTGTTTTAGGAGGTGGGAAGAACAAACTAAGGATTAGAGGAGTTTTGATCATTCTAAAACTAAAGCTGAGGATGTTTAAGTTTACTCCTGTGGTTTTGAGTTCATGAGATACAATCTTGTTTCCTGTCCCTTTTTCATTCCTCTTAGCGTTATCACTTCATTGTGAATGTTCATCATTCAGGTTCAAATACAGGCATCTGTAGAAATCCTGTCAGAATTCTGCAACTTTTGTCTTCTCAGGATGCTGAGAACATATTCTGCTTTGCCTGACCAGCATGTATCTGATATATGCCTGATCAGCATATATCAGGCACTGCAGAATATCTAGTCTTTCATTATAGCATCAAAAGGAATTATGAATGAGTATAAAACTACTTCAGGTGGATCTTGTTCAAGTAGTTATAGTGCTTACTTAAGTGGTAGAAGCAGCTGGGAAACTTAGTGGGGATAATGCCCATTTTCTTACTAGAAGCGGTTGAGTATAGCTATAATTTGGAGGGTTTTGTTGACCCAAAAGCGGTTTGTCTTTAAACTGGTTTTCTTGGTTTTTTTTTTGCTGTTGTTGTTTTGTGCTTTGTTCTTTTTTTTGACATCTGTCACAATGGAAGCTTCCATTTGTCAAAGAATTTCAAGAAGCGTTCAACCTCTGTTGTCGGCTACCATTTGGGATGTTTAGTTGTGATGTGAATTAGAGCAACACAGCTGTTCAGTTCAGATTGACTGTATAGGAATGTTTTGGTTTATAGAACCAAGTAAGGTAATTTCAGAGAGAATCTATGATTTAGGGAGTTGTTTCCATGTTGACTAGAGAATTCAGAATTGATGCTTAATTTGTAGCAGTCTTAAGGAAGTGGAAGTCTTTTTGTGGTTTGCAACAGATACTCCTATCACTTTATTTCTTGTTACTCTCTGTTAAAATACATAATCTAATTAACTGTATTAACACTGAAATGTATTGCAGTTAGACTCTTCTTGGTGATGCTGCAACCTTTTATTTGGCCTCTTAAAAGAATAATAAGCTTTGGAGATTGAGATGCTATTTGGCAAACTATCTGAGCTTGGGGAATGGAGAGGAGGTTACCTCTTAGTAGCTGAAAGCATTGTGTAATTGCTCCCTTTGCTTTTTAAAAATGTAGATAGCTGTTCTGTCCTCCTGCAGCACAGAAACGTATCCAAAGACTCCAGTTATAGTAACTACAGAAGTGTCACAAACATCATTAAAATCTGTGCCCTGGTGGTACTTAAGATCCAAGAATGAAGTTCAGAGTCAGGTATTTCGTGTTGTTGATCATGCTGAGAGACTCCTGCTCTCTGAATCTACAGCAAGCTTGGTGTACTGTAGGAAGCTCCAGCACGGGCAACCACCTGCATTCTGTCCAGAATTGACAGTAGAACAAGTTTGGGAACCTTCAGTATTGTCAAGTGACAGGAATTAAGCATGCAAATGGTATTGAGGTTCATAATGTAGGATCTCGCATGCTTAAAATTATCATGGCATCTATAGTTCTTATTCAACAAGGATTTGAATTCAGTGTGTGGCTTCTGTAATAAAAAATGTGCCTACAGGTAACAGAGCAAAGAACTCCCCCTTGTAAAAGATTAGGTCTTAGAATTCCTGTTCATGTGGAAAACACAGTGATTCATGTAAAGCAGATCAAGTAAAACACAAGTACTCTGCAATGTTTTTCAATATGTTACTGTAAAACAGCTGGAAGTTGGGTGGGGGCAGCTGGAGCATAGGAATAAGTGAGTGTGGGGGATTGTCTTCTGAAGTGCATAAGCCTCTGCAGACAGAAGCGTATAAGAACAGGTTTTGGGAGCTGTTCAGAGTGCAGAAAACAAGCAACTTGCTCATTATTGACTTTTCTCTCCTTAACACCTACCTGTAGTGATATGAACCTTCTTTATCTTATTCTCAAGTATGGACTTGCCAACATTTATCTGAATGTTAGGACAGAGATAGAAAAAGCTGATACAAAGGGGAAGGATTGATCTCTTTCCCTCTGGAAGTTTCTGGTACATGCTTAAGTGATTTGCTGTGGCGATTCCTCCATTTAGGAAGAGTGCTGTTAAAAAGGCTGACCTTCCTGATTTTTTTTTTTTTGGCTGTACATCCTTCAATTTTATCAAAAGCTTATGAACAATAAAAGCTTAAAATTTGCATTTGTGTTACTTCTGTTTTGTTAGTTGAATTTCATCCTATGAGGCCCTTTGCCTCATTAATTTCAGCCTTTATGTATGAAAATTTGTATTGGTTTTGTGTGCATGTGTGCGAGGAGTGCTACTATTGGAATGCAGACCTTTTTGAAAGTTCATGGTGGTGATGTTCTAAGAACGTGATTATATTCCGAAAAGCATAAGCTGTAATTTTTTTTCCAGAGCCTCATTTATGACCAAGACTGTACAGTATCAAAATGAGCTGCATAAATTCCTAATTTGGGATACAGCTGGACAGGAGCGGGTAAGTAGAATCAATATCTGTGCTGATAGTTCTGGCTAGAGATTGGGTCACTTTTCAGCCCTGCCCTTGAAAGTCACAATGTGATCTGGTTTTATGAGCATGTCCTAGACTGGTTGTTTTTAGGCAGGTCTCTGCCTGTAAATATGGTTTTATTTTTCATTTTTGGTATGGTTAAAGGACAGTGGTAAGGGTGATTACCTAAAAGGAGCATATAAAAACAAAAGATTGGATTTAGATTCACTAAGAGTGCCATTTCAAAAGAAAACAGAGTGGAGAGGGAGCCAGCAGCTGTCTCTAGCACCTTTTCTAGTTGATTTTTAAACATTCAGCTGGAGTTACTTTGCAGCCAGTGCATCTGGCAGCATGAGAATCAAAGTGAAACGAATAATTGTGTTTCATAGTATGAGTAGGCCCCACTTCTGGGAAAATCTACAACTGCTAACACATTGTTAGCTTCAGTGTTTGGGTTCTTAATGTGAGTAAGGTACGGGCTTAGGCTTTAAAAAGCAACGTTTCAAGCAGTGTTATAGGTAATAACTGATCTTCTATTATAAAGTTTTCTCTCAAATCTGATAAGTTAGAAGCTATGTCAAGAAATCTATTTTGATGTTTTGATCTCTGCAGCATGTATAGTTCTGAGGGGAGGCAACCAGAGCTTTCAAGAAAATGACTACTCAAATCAATTCACTAGTTTGCGTGATTTTCACTTAGAATTTCAAAGGAAGACTTTGCTAGTGAACTTGCTTGTTTATGGATTCCTAGTAACAGTGGTAGAAATCATAGTAGCTGTATTAAGAATGCTGTCTTGCAGATTCTTGACTGGTAACTATTGGCAATTATCAGTCACTTATTTAGGATGAGAATGAATTGTAATAAAGATAGATACCAGAGCTGTCTCCCATACGCGCCAGTTTGATCAGGTTGGGTTATTATTTCAGGATAATAGCTGGAAAATGCAGTTGTACTATTTTTCAGGATTGGTTCTAGAAAGTAACTGAAGTATATTTGTATTGCATTTCAGTGTCTTGGATTTTGAATGACAGTTTATTTCCATCCAGCAGCACTATATAAAGCAAATTTATGCTGCCAGGGATGTGTCCCAGGGATATGTCCAATAGTATCCATGTTACTAGAAATACCCAAGTCCTTCCATTACCAGCACTCACTCAGCATTTCTGTGAATAGTTTGTCTTAAGTGAACATCTTAGCCCATTTGGAAATGTTAATGCTGGCATGTGAGTCTACTGAGAGGTAGAATATGACTTCTGAGAGGCTGGTACTCTTAAATTGAAAGCTTTATGAACATGCCTGCCACAACTTGGCAAGAAACTTCCAATGCATATTAGCATTCCATCCTGTTCACTTTAGCTGTGTTTGCAAGCCATGGGAGAACACTGGATTCAGCGTACTATAATCAGAGTAAGCATCTCTGCACGTGACCATCATGTTCCTTGTATTTGTTTTTAGACTTTGAATGATACCTCTTTAATTTCTTTCCATACAAGTTGTGTGGTATCTTTCTTGAAATAAAACCGGGAAAGGTCTCTGACCTGTGAGCTGTGATATCTGTGAAGCTTATGTTCCACACCTGAGAAAAGTCACTTGTGAGGCCACAATATAGCCAAGGAAACCAGTGAAATGGGAGCAAGAATACTTACTTAGAAATTATGTCAGTATCTTCATAAATGTTTCTTTCTTCAAAACAGAGCAGCACTGTCACATGCCGGTAGTCATAAATGGTCTGTATACATGCCTTTCCCTGAAATCCATAGCAGAGTTACATCTGACAATGAATTATGGAAGGGATTTCCTCCATGATATCTGGAATGCCGTAAATGTCCACACCATTCTTGGAACTAAAATGTCTCTGCTGAGCTATGATACTTAATGCACAGAATTTGTAGTCCTGGCTTCTTGAGGAGCATTTGCTGTTTTCCACTTCAAAAGCCCAGGAGTGAATAGTTCCATGCTGCACTGGGCAATCCCATGTTCTAAATGACTTCAGGGAGTGGTGGGCCTGCTTCACTCCAGAGGTGGAAATGTGCACTAACTCACTTCACACAGCTCACTGCGCAGCCTTATTTCTTCTCTCATTTCTTCTACACAGTGTATAGTTGATAGGTGATGACATGTAGCAGATCACTTACAGCAGTCAGGTTTTTTGCCTTCTTACCTTACAATTTTGAGTTTCTCTGGATAATTATGTCTTAATAATTCTGTCAAAACACAAATTGGAGGCTGGAGGGTAAGCTGAAGTATCTGGAAAAATAGCAAAAGGAAAATTCAGTGTTTCTGGTGACATCTGTTTTGTTAATGTGTTTTATCTGCCTGTTGCCCTTAGGTGGAAAAAAGTATCTAAGTGTTAGCAGTCAGGAAATGAGAGTAATGCAAAATCAGCAAGTGCAAGTTGGTTTATTCCCAATGTAAATAGTCAAATAATCAAAAAGCCAGGCTGCAACTAGTCCAAGAGGTGGTTTACCAAATATGTTTCCCTTTACATTTTAGTACTCGGGAGGAAGAGAGGGATTATGTCCCAACATGATCTGAATCCCTGCCCGTGTCTCCCTTTCCCACTATTAAATATTTTTATATTCTGAACTTTGTGTTCAAAATCCTGTTTTCAAAACAGAATTTGAGAGCCAAATGTAAATGCTCTGGAATTCTGCTTTATAGCAAAATTTTTATGATTTATAGTAGTGCTCTCAGTTGAACTGTACTAAGCAAAAGGAAATTGGTATTTTATTAGAACTGAATAAGCTTTTATGAAAAACTGTATTCTAGTCATGATTCTTACCCTGAGTAATAAGATGCACAAAAGCACTAAATTACATACGCTTACACAAAAGGGGTACGTGCAATTTACTCTGTGCTTTAACTGAGAGTTTTGTTTGCTAGATTAGTTGTCTGTCCCTTTTTAAATTGCAGAATATCACACTGTTTTTAAGAATGCTTGAGTTTTGATGCAATTTAATTGTATGCTTTATCACTTTTTTCAGTCCTGGATTCATAGTGCTGCCCATGCAAAGGCACAGGCTTGGTTTATATTCTGCAAATGTACTACCAGCCAAATATACCTGCCCTAGATCTAATTTTGGATATTACAATAGAAATTAGATTGGATATTAGGAGGAAATTCTTTCCTATTAGGGTGGTGAGACGCTGGAATAGGTTGCCCAGGGACGTTGTGAATGCTCTATCCCTGGCAGTGTTCAAGACCAGATTGGACGAGGCCTTGGGTGAGATGGTTTAGTGTGAGGTGTCCCTGCCCATGGCAGGGGGGTTGGAACTGGATGATCTTAAGGTCCTTTCCAACCCAAACTATTCTATGATTCTATGAATTACAGTAGCCTTTTGCTATCTAGCATGTTCCTTAAAGCTCTGTTTGCAACAGGTCACATGGCTGTTGGCTTTTGCAGTTTTCTGTTTTAAACATGCTTCTAACTTGGGGGGGGGGAGCCCTGAGGCTGTAAATTAAATTACAAAGAAGGAAACCAACATTTCTAGCGTTGAAGTGTGCCATGACTGATCCATGGGGCTAGAGGTTGACACCAACTTCTGAACATTTCAGAACAGCAGTAATACATGCTAGATTTCTTGAAATTACTTCTTGTCCAAAAGCTTGAATGTCTTGGAGGAAGAAGCTGGTTCAATTTTGACTGTTTTCACCTTGTCTGGTGTTTAAAGTTGAGCATATATCCTGTCTGTGCATATAATCTACAATCTTTTAAATGAGAGATTCTAATCTAGTCAAAGTAAGGTCAAGTTTGGCTTCCTGCTTTTTCTCAGTAAGTGTGCTGCTGATCCCTAAGCCATCTATTGGTTGGCCTTTGTAAAACAGTACTTGAATGGAAATTATGTATATTGTTGCACAGCATCTCTGTAATTGTAAAGAAAAGTTTTCCACTAATGTGGACTTTAAAGCTAGTTTTCACTTCTTTATAATATAATAATGATGAGATCATGGAGGTCAGTAGAAGATCAGATTCATAATGTCTGGTGTCTTTCTTCCAGTTTCGTGCTTTAGCCCCAATGTATTACAGAGGGTCAGCAGCAGCCATTATAGTGTATGACATCACAAAGGAGGTAAGAAATGTGATATTTTCCCAGCATTACTACTTTGTGTGGGGTATGAGGGTGTCATGGGCCAGTTCTGACTCTTTAATTTCTTCTTTTTCTTTATTTTCTTCTTTTTTTTTTTCAACACATCAGGAAACTTTCTCAACATTAAAGAACTGGGTTAAAGAGCTTCGACAACATGGACCTCCGAACATTGTTGTAGCTATTGCTGGAAATAAGTGTGATCTTAATGATGTAAGGTAAATAACTTGGTAACTTGGAGATTTTCACTTAAGCTCGTAGGACTAAATATTTTAACATTTCAGATCAGGTGAAAGGTATAGAGCAATCCAGGCTGTTTCGTACTAGCATTGTAGTTTCGCAAGTGGTCTGAGCTGTTTCTGCTGTCAGAAGACTTGGTTAGTCTGGCCTTGCACAGTCTTGCCCACTTCCTCCCAGTGTTGGTGTGAGTATGTGTGTGATGGTGTAGTAAATCAGGCTATAAAATAGATCCAGATTAAAACTAACAGTTTTAAAAAAGGAAAACTCATCCAAGTATATTTATGTTTCTCACACCATGAACACTTGCTGGCATAACAGAGGTGGGATAGCAGGGTTAGGAATGAGCAGTTTACAGTGAGACAGGATTACCTTTTCTAGAGGCAGTGCCAAGTTACACAAGTCTAAACTCCCTGTGAAACTACAGTGTAATACAAGCTGTTTATCTCACTTTATAAGAAGTACCCCGTCAGTCTGTAGCACCTCATTTTGTTAGGAAAACATCAAGCCTGTTGGAAAGCATTGTGTAGGCTTTTCTAACTTGCTTGTTCAGGTGCCTTCCTTCCCTGCTTAAATACTGGGGTGGAATTGGCTCACAGCTGAAATAGTTGCAGGGAGTGGGAAAAGTTCTTGAGAAACTTTATGAACAGCCAGAGTTTCAAGAAGGCATGTACTAAAAACAAAAGAAGCCCTTTTTTATTGATGTCCAGGTTGAATAAGCCAAAATTCAGAAAGAAGGTGTGTACAGACTTTCTGGGTTTAGATTTTATTGGAAAAGGTACCACAGCTCTTGCCTCAAAGGAGACAGATGGTTATGTGTTTAAAGAATCACTGCAAAGTTAGTTTTTAGTATAATTTTACAAATTGTTAATATATAGGAGTTATCTAGGGAGCTCTAATAACTTTTGTTAGAAGTAGCATGTCTCTTGAAAAAACTGATGACATAAAATTAATTAGAAGGCAGATATAAAGCATGTAGGTAGTATTTGTCCCAAATGTTTATTTCTTGGTGCTTAGTTGACATAAATTATGCTAATGTTGTTATTCAAGCTGATTGAGCAAGATTCCTTGTACTTCAGTCAGAGGCAGTATTTGAGTCAATGATCTAAAGTCTGTGCTTTTGATACCCTGTAGTCCCTTATTACTGAAAGCAGCCTGTGTTTTCTAGAAATTGTATGTAAGGTGATACAACATATAGTCCAATCTTCTCTCTACATATCGAGCTTTGTTTTTCATGTTATTAAGGGAACATTACCAGCTTGCCTACCTTAAGGTTGTAGAGTAACTTTTTCACTTCTTGACTCTTTGCTCAGTCTAAATATGTTTCTGGTTATAGTTACATTTTCATACTACATGTAAAGTAAATGCTATATGAATGATCTGTTCAGTGTTGCAAGATACTTATTTTTGTAAACAGCTGTAGGAAATCCACTGGGTTAGTGGAATTAATGCTTTAGTATCTTTTCAGTACATCTCAAACTGTGTGTGTCAAGATTAAAACACCCTGTAATGACTGATTGCAGACCTACACTTAAAGCACTCAAGAAACAAACTCCACTGTAATGCTGTCAGATTAATTGTTTAGTTTATGATTGTTTAGTTTATGATTGTGCTTCAGTGATGCTCATACCTCAAGGCAGGGAGACAGCATAAAGGATGAGCATTAACTTCAGGATGAAGGAGGGCTGTGATGCCAAACAGGTAAAATGCAAAATACTCATTAGTGAGACAGTTGAAAGCTTAATCTGTCCCTAAAGATTTTTGACTAATGGTGGGTTTTTGCATTCATAGTTTTTTCTTTGCTTTGTTTTTGCAGAGAAGTCATGGAAAAAGATGCTAAAGACTATGCAGATTCCATTCATGCAATATTTGTAGAGACAAGTGCGAAAAATGCAATTAACATTAATGAACTCTTTATAGAAATTAGTAAGTATTGAAACAGTTAATATGCTTTCTTCTGAAAGAAGTTCAAGTAGAAATTTGATTACTTCTTGTGGTATTCAGGTGAGAGTATACTGGATTGAATTTGTGACAGTTGGGCCTGAATGTGAACTGCAAAATGAGCTGTATCAATTTTTGGCCGTCTAATGACCTCTGAATAGTCCTTTTAGAGCTTTTAAGCTTACTGTGATGTTGCTGGATAAATAGCAGGGCACTCATGTCAAGTCAATGTCATCTTATTATATCTGTTATTGAATGCTTCAATTAGTGCTTCCAAGGTTATGGAAGAGAAAGGAATAGTGTGGAGATGATCCAGACTTTATACAGCTGAGAAAAGGAATGAAGTTCTCACTCTTAGTGTTTGTACTTAGTGCATTTGAAAAATAGAAGAATTCATGAAGGCTAGATTACTGCATGGGAAATAGCAACTAATGTGTGTAGATTTTCCACGTGTGTTTCTGTGTTACCTGAAGGTTTTTAAACTTAAATTGCAAACCTTTTCTGATTCCTTCATGGAGTGAATGACAGTAAGTTTTCTTGTGTGAATACAAAGCAGGCAATATTCCAAACTGAATTCTGTTCAAGATTATTTGCAGAATGTTTCAGGCAGTAGCATGAATGTATAAAAATAGTTCTTATAAGCAGTTGAGTATATTGAAGCTGATGTAAAAAGTACGTGCTGTAGAGTAGCTTTCTGATTTACTGACTTAATAGCTGCTCTCTAAAATTGATCTTGAATAAATTATGGAAAAAGTATCATAAATCCTCCTCAGAAAAGAATACTTAACCAGGAATAGTCGATTTTAATGACTGATTAGATGACTAAAGCAGCTGCCTTTACAAGCACTTCTGTGCTAAACCCAATGCAGGTGATGTGCTGTGGAAATACAGGTCAAGATGGTAGCTCTTAATGAAGATATTCCAGATGGTATTGCATCCTGCAGAGTATATTCTCTGAGTAGTTTTACAGCTTAGCTCTCAAAGGCTGGCTTATACTGAAGTGTAAACACTGTAAAATTAGCTTAAAACTGCCTTTGCTCTTCTGTGGGACCATACCTCTTGCAGACATAGTATAGACTATTAACGGCCATCCTCCTTTTATGCAGGAATGTTGTCACTAATGATGTATGACTAATCCAAAACATACACTGAATGCTTAGAATTAGTTTCAAGTGTAATGTTTGCTGTAATTTTTTTTTTTTCTGACTCCTTGTAGGTCGCAGAATTCCATCAACTGACACCAACCCCCCGTCTAGTGGTAAGGGCTTCAAACTTAGAAGACAGCCATCGGTGACAAAGCGCAGCTGCTGTTGACAGATCCCTTAGAAAATCAAACTTGTCTATACAGTAGGTGGTCTTGGAAGTTAATAGTTCACGTTGGGTTTATATTATCAGTCTTAGATCTTTATCTGCTGGTGTTAATACACACAAGGTCCCACAAAAATGGACCAGCTCATCTGACATCTGTACACTCGCAGAAGAGACTGCAATCGTAATGTCAGCCTGTTTACTTACGAAAAGTGTAGTATCTCTTGCATTCAAAGGGAATCCATCATCACTTTTTTGGCCTTGCTTGACGGGAAGGTGACTATATGGATGGTAGTACTGAAATGTTTAATAGTTTTGTAACAAACATTTTAGGGTGGTTTTGTGTTTTCGTAAAAAGGGAAATGAGCACTTTTGTGGGACTTAAGGGTGGGAAGAGTCTGGAAGAGGTAAATTGTAGCTAATCCAAAGTATGGTGGGACAGTTGATGAGAGGTGGCTACAGAATAAGCAACTGAAGACAAACAATAGGCAAATCAGTCCATCCAGTCCCCAAATCCCATTTGCACTTTTTATTTAAAGATGATATGTGTCAAGGGTGGGGACGCAAGCAACAGCTCTTAAACCACAGACAATCTTTCTTTTATGCTAACTTTAATCACTGTAAGGCAAACTGATGTATTTGTAGGCTTCTTTTTGTTCCTACAAGTTTTTTAATAGTAAGATGGTGGTTGAAGAAAACCTAGTTGTAGTTCTGACTAAATTAAGTGGTTACTAACTAAAGCCAGGTGCTGTAAACAGATGCTGTCAGTGGTTCAGGTAAGACCTAAAAGTTCTTGGGGAAAGCTTTTAATTGCTTGGCATGTGTAAAGTGTTCATATTATATTTATGAGACCAGTGTCTAAAGTATTATAAATTATGTAAGAAAACAAAAAAGAGGAAAAAAAATGCAATCTTATACACTCCTTCCATTCCATACCAATGGATAAACTCCCAGGGTATCTCCATCAGGTGGTTTTTCCTGCATTCTATGTATTGCCACTGTGACTTCATCTAGAGGCAGACTGAAATTCTTTCTCTTTCAATTGGATTTGAAAGGGCCAATAGGGAATGTTGTTGGTGTAGCATGAGGACTGTCTGTTGAAGAAGTTTTCATCTGCAGTGCACCCAGTCTTTCTTGTTTTGGGCACAAAAATACAAATAGGAAGTAACCTTAAGACCATGTGGTAATGTAGATCATTACCTCTTGGTTCCTGGGCTTTTTCATCTGTGAGAGTTTTTAGCAGATCAGTGTTTAGTTTATTCTCTATTGGTTTTAGTATTGGTGTTAGTTTCAGTTAAACTGTAGGTTTGCCATACCCCTTTGTACTATTTTATTTATTTTTACTTTTTGTTTCCTACCAGAACTAGTGAGAAACTTTATATTCTTGAAGAAAAAGAGCTTAATAGACTTGAGTATATACTAAAATACACTGTTTAGCTTTAGTATCAAAATAAGGTCATGTTGATGATGCTTATTCTTTGTTTGTAATCTGGTATTCTATCTCAAGTATTTTCTCTGAAGGAAATACAGAAAAGTTGGTAAAAAATGAAAGGACTTGTACTTCAGATTAGTTTGTATTAGTGAGAATTACTGTTTTGCTCTGGAATAGATCTACAGGTGAACTATTACAGTGAGATTTTGAATGGGTCAGTATGTTTTAATGAAACTTGGTGACTACATTTTATCATGCCTTCTACCTACATGGCGATGTCATTGTGCCTTCTTTGCCACAGTTGTACAGGCTATGTGCTTACAGAGAGCCCAAGAAGTAGATCTTCATCAAATGAAGGCTGTTTGAATCTTCTTTTAAACATTGGTCCTTAACAAAGCATCTCATAGTAGAGATAGGTTTGTATTTGGTGTTTAGCCTGATGTATATTTTTATTCTGTCACTCAAAGCAAGTAAATTATTAACAGAAAATTCAATACTCCTACAAAATGCTTGATGGAAATAAAGAACAGAATAGACTTGCTTCGGGGCATATTTTTAATTATAAAAAGGCAGGTTAGTAATTCAGTGTAGCATTTTCACAGTGGCAGTCACAGAAATCCCTGATTTCTTTGCAGCGTCTAAATTCTTAGTCAAAGATTAAATCTTGGTAAATTTCTTAAAAATAAATTGTGTGGTTATCTAATTCAGCAAGGTTTTAAAAACATTTTATGTTCACGGTGCTTCAGAAGTCTATTTTATATGAAGATACCAGGTGCTTCAGTATCTTAACTGCAATACAGAAATTTCTGCTTTTATTCAAGTTGGTTTGTAATCTTGAAATTCTTGACGTATGCTAGCAGTAGAAGCAAAGTCTCAGTTATTGGGAATATCTTTCTTGTAGATTGGTAGAAAAATGAATTTCGGATTTTATAATTTATTATTGCCTGTTACCATGTAGTAGAAATGGATTTTAATCTGTTTTTCAGTGAGATAACGAAAACGACGACTTAACAGTATCCATCCAAGATATATTAACTTGAAAGCAAAATATTGGACACTAGGCAAGACTGAGAGCTAGGCTAGTACTGAGGTTATTGTAGTTCTTCAGTCAAAGGAGAGATCCATAGATCTTAGCAAATCCTTATCAACTGCTTTCTGATCTATACTATTTGCTATACACCAAAATTAGACTTTAAAAACAAAGAAATCAAAAACCTCAAAACAACAATCTGTCTCTTCTCAAAAGTAGCTAAGTCTTACTGCCTCCCTACTTTTGTTACCAGTCTGAGTGGAATGCCAGCGTATTTCATACGCTTTTTTGCAGTTCTGATCTTGAATTACTGCAGTTAATGAAAACGCAGAAATAGCCAGTGTTTCAGATTGTCCAAACTACAAACACAGAAGTGAGGCTGCTTTTTAATGCATGCCTATTTCAAATGACAGACTGTTGATGTAAGTTCTCTTGAGCCAAGATAACTGTTTATTGATCAGTTGGCCCTAGCTGAAAGCTGGAATGCAATCTTCCCTGGATGAGATGCATGTGTTCATTGTTTCATTTCTGTTGGAGCAAAATGGTTACTTCTGTATTAATAATTTGTTAGGCCATCTGCTTTCATCTGGCACTAGGCATGCTGAAATTGACGGTATTTTGTCCTAACATAACTTCTCTATTTGGAGATACATTAGCCTTTGAGTGTTTGGAGTGCTGATCATTAACCATTCCAGCTAAATTTTTAATAACTTCTTTTTTTTCTGTTAAGAAGTTATTGAAAAAGCTCAGGACTGATGTTTTCTTCCATGTTTGCCTTTCTGTTTAATGAATGGAGCTTATCATAAAGACTAGACTTCCAGATACTCTTAAAGGGAATTAATTGCTGCAAAACAAGTTTGGAAGGGTTGAGGTATCAAGAATGTAAAAATGTAGTGCAGTGCATGTCGTGTCATTGATACAGAGCATTTTTTTAACTGACAAGGTATGACTGTTTCCGCTTCTAAACACACAAATTCCTTCCCATGAAAGTTACAGATTTGTACAAAAATACCATTTGATAAATATTTAGTTCTTAAGCTTTGGAACAACTTAAATATGCTCCCCAAGTTTTGGAGGGTGTCTTCATCCAGTCCTCTAAATTGCAAGTGTCTGAGCTGACTTGCCAGGCTCCTAATCTGTGCTGTTGGTAGTTTTGTAGTGTATTTTATATACATGCTGAAAACTGGTATTATAAAAAGCTTAAGTAGCTGAAATCTGGAAGCTTATGTTTAATAACAGAAGCATCTAGTGCTCAAACTACTGAAAATTGTTATAGGTGCTTTGAGGAATTCTAAAACAATTCTAACTTTAGCTGTTGCCCAGAAGGTAGAGACTTTGTTACTAGATCCATGTTGAAACAAAACAAATCATTGCACTTCAAATCCCTTACTGACATCAGTGAGGCCTTTCCTTTAAGTCCTACAGGATCAGACAGCTAATAGTTTAGAGGGATGTTTTATGCAGACCTGGGTCTTTGATATGTTTGTGTGCGTAGTACCAGTTTAATGCTACCAGTTTGCTCAAGAAAGGTTATGTACATACTTGAGAATAAAAGGAGAGGAGGTAATGCCTACTTGCTGATTTGAAAGTCATATCCTCTAACCTGATTGAGAGGTGTCTATATTTGTGGTTAAAGCATCATTTTAATTATCAAAAAATAATTCAGGCTGAATATCTTGAATGGTTGAAAAGTTGGTTGGCCTCAGTAAGATTTTTCTTACAATGTTAATCCTAAATTATTCATTAACATTAGTGTTAAGTTCCACCATGATATATTGAGTGTTGGAAAAGGAAGCCTTAGCAGTGATGTCTGAATGACTTGTGAAACAGTCTTTAGTGTTTATTGAGGATGATGTAGTTATGGTATGCCATGTCAGCAATCTGCAAAGACTGTCTTGGGAATTGGTGCATTACAGGACAGAAGCTGTCTGACCTGTGTAGCTATTCACCCTGTAGTTCACTTATAAGCAGCAATAGCTACCTAGAAGTAGAAAAAAAATCATCTTGACTATGAGGAGAACCTGAATAATTCACTGACTTAAACTTCTACACTGCCTATTCATTTTCTAAAAAGCTTCATGTATCTCTAACACTTTAAACCTCTAAAAAAGAGGCTCTTCATGTTTGAGAGAAGGACAAACTTTCTTCACGTTTTTAGCAGGAAGTCATTTTAAAGCAACATGAGACTTTGTTGCCACAAGTCAGTTACTTGAAGCCGGCGAATTGTGTGCTTGGAATTAAGCATTTTAAAAATCCTCACAAAATTCTCTAAAGAAAACTAGTGCCAAAACACATTTCCCTAAAATTACTAGGCCTTCTGACAACAATGTTTCTAAAAAAATCCCTTCTGTTATTTTGGGGGTGTCAGAAGCCTGAATGCAAACCCTTTCCTGGTCAGCTAGAATCCAGAATGCATGACTTGAAAAAATCAAGCAAGCATTACCAAACTTTATCCATGAAGTGTCACAGATAACAAATCTGTCAAGGGATATAAGACTAATCTGAAATGCAAGAGTACTGATGGCTTAGTCTCTGTCATGCCAAAATGATCCTAGGGTCAGCTTTTTCCTCCTTCCC